ACCAGGATGTACCCAGTTAATATGTATGAGCGTAAGACGCTTCGTTTTGACTCTTCCACCACACATCGAGAGCACTTATCTTCTGAACAACTGCCGCCAAGCCGAATATGTTCAGGAAAAATCGGGTGTACATTTTGGACGAGACTCACACTACATTCCAGCAGCTTTTCTGCCGCTGGTGTGAAATTATAACCGTGTTGGTCAAACAGAGGGAAGGTCACACAACTGATTGCCTACTACTTTTTTCAACGACAGACTTGCTGACAGACTGGAGCCTTCGGGAAGTGGGGCTGGACGCGCGAATTTAAAGTGGTTTATTTTGTTTTTAAGCGTGTTCCCAGGTGATTCTTCCCCTTCTTATTAGTGCCTTGATGTATTCGCCCAGACATACTCTCTGGAGGCTGATGCATGCTGTCTTTGAACAGTTCGTACAAGACCCAAAATGGAGCATTCAACTTAGAGGACCCGGGACGCATTGAACTTTCTCACATCTTAGTCATTAGGTCTGGTGATCCAGGGCTAATGACCCTTGGGGCATATGGCTTTCGGAAGGCACCCGTGACTGCTAGACTGGATTCCAGTGAACAGTCGTCTTTCTGGCGATCCGTTATCCGGCTCAGTCAAGCTCAATTCCACGACATACAACCCAGTGTTTGTCTGTGGTATCAGCTTCTGTTCCAAATTACTACCGTTCTGACGCTGGGAGGGACAGTTTCTATCGAGGCATATTTGGACTGTCGTCCTTGGTGTTGGTTTGGGTACCCAGGTCGATTGCGCGAGCCCTTTGAAACCACACTTGGGAGTGGATTTGGAGCCGATGCTCGCAGCAGGTTCAGCAAAAGACAAACCCTGCGTTTGAACGTGAACTTTTAAAGAAACTTGTGGCATTAGGCTGGTAGGCGTGGCGTTCGAGGCGATCTCATCATTCGAAGATCAACTGAACACAAGCTGAAACCAAGCTGGGTTTCGTCGTTCACCCACACCCACTCCGATATTCCTGGATGGCGGTACTGCTTCCAGAAACCGGCAGTGATCGTCCTCACTTCATGGATCACTAGACCCTACGGTAATAGTATAAATGGTGCATTATGGTTATTATTACCACCAAACCCAACGATATCCCCATTATAAGCTGCCACCTTGACGTGATGGTCAAACTTGAGTGGTGCAACGATCCAACGGACTACACTAGCTGAAACTTCGGTCCACAAGGTGCAACAATACTAGGAAGGCCAAAGGGGAGCAGTCAGACCAAGAGCAGCGATACCCCGCACTACGAGTAATCGTGCTAGGAGGCGGTCTAGGGGTAAAGTCATACTGTTCTCTGCCAGTGTGAAGTCTGTAAGGTGTTCCCCCAGGTGACCAGCATGTCCATATGTACGCGATGCTGCCTTCCCCCCCAGGAAGGACGGGTTAGAAAAGGTCGACCCCAATAACCGCAGGCTCCGATTGTTCAACGCTTGACCGTCACTGCCGGCACATTATTCGATACTTTCCAAATACTTTTAAAGCCAAAGAGTCTGGTGTTGCTCAAAAGGCGCCTGCTGTGCGCGGCTGCCTCAGGAATGAGACAGTGAGGCCTTATTCTTTGCGTCCTCGGGTTAGGCTAGCCCTGTGCAGGTTCGTGGTTCGAACCCGGCCTCTGCCTCTCGACTTCCCCTGTCTAGGCTTGGGCGACCTTGCAGTATCCCAGCCGTGGTGCTTCCTTCGGGTAGTATGGCAGCTAGACACCGGAAGGGTGTTGCAGCTGAGAGAGACACAACTTGATTCCAATCGCGTCATGGTGCGTGCCCTTATGACAGTTGGTTTCCCTCTAGGCCATCGCAAATCAACAAGAAGCACCATTATCTTCGAAGAACTACTGCAATGTTGATCTGAGCTAGCTCAAAAGCTCTCTACAGTAAACCAATATCTTATAGGCGAGATGGCCGAAGTGGTTAGAGCGCGGATTACTAACCTGAAGGTCCGCGGTTCGAATCCGACCTCCGCCACTCGACTTCCCCTGTCTAGGCTTGGGCAACCTGGCAGTATCCCAGCCCTCGTGCTTCCTTCGGGTGGCATGGCAGCTAGGCACCGGAAGGGTGCTACAGCTGAACGCTTTATCTTTTTATCTTTACTTTATCTAAGCACGTCTATCAAGTACGGCAAAATGTGAAAGGAGCTAAGCTAGAGTCGTTCAGTGCTGTCTGTCCGACTTCTCCGATACGGCCAAATGACCACTGGGTGTCTTTGGGATAGCCAGTAAATCCGTATCAGCAGGTGTGGAAATCGACGTTACATCAGCCTGGTAGCTGCGACATCGAAGGTGCTTTCTAGTCTTATCCTTCGGAGGTTGACTAAACACAGAGAGACAGATTCGTGGAAGGTAAACTGAGTTCCCTCCTGCATGAGGATGCGTCGGTCATATTTTCACCTTCGGACAGAGTGGAACAGTGACGCTGCTTTCAGTGCCACACAATGGTTGTCTTCCTTGACTTGAAAGTTGCCTTTGACTCTGTGGACCGTCAGACACTACGGCAGTGTCTGTAGAACAAAGATGTTCCACATAAATGCTTAAGGCGCCGTTCACCAACTCCCACAGACTCGTCAAAGTCTACGGGGAGCTCTCGCCTGAGTTCACTACATCGAGAGGTGTCAGGCAAGACTGTCCTCTTTCACTTCTTCTCTACAACTTCGTCATTGATACGATTATGGAAAACTCACTATCGGTCTTTAATGCCTTTGGGTTCCAAATACTCAGAGAATTCGCTCGCAGATATTGAGTGCACAAACGACCTTTTCACGGCAGTGAAGCATCAGTGTTGAACACTGATGTCATGCTGTCGATGATGATGTTACAGACGACCTAGCTCTTCTTAGATCTGACGCCGTCGTAATGCAGACGACATTAACTAATCTAAATAATTCTGCATCACTGTTTGGCATGCGCTTCACACATGCAAAGTGTGAAGTGCTGCTGCTACGTTGAGTGGGCTGGAATCCCAATGTCATGCTCGCGGATGAGCCGCTTGAGGTAGTGGGCAAATTTGTCTATCTTGGCAGCTGTATCAGTCCCCCTGGTTTAGCGAAATGTCATATGCCCATCCATATTAGGAAGACCAGAGCAGCTTTTGAGAACCAGCGTCACCTATGGCGTAGGCGTGGCATCAGCTTATCCGTCAAGGGTCCACTTTACGATGCTGCGTTGCGATCCATGTTGCTATGCAGGTCGGAAACTGGGCAGTTGCGCCCCGAGGACGCCAGAAGAATACCAATGACCATCGTTGTCTTCGGAGCATTACCCCGGTATGGTTGGAACACCGGATCAGTAGGTTGAATGGTTTTCGGAAGAGACAACCCTCCAACGACAGGTGAAATGATCACACCCCATAGGTTGCGCTGACTTAGTCACGTGCTCCGTTTGCCTCTCGACGGACTTCCTCGAAGAGCTCATTACGCACAACCACTGAAAGGGTGGAAACGAGCCAGGGGAGGTCAAACAATGGCTTGGCAGCGAAGTATGAGACGCCATTACCGGCAAACTCAGCTGCGCTGGTCATTACCGTCTCCCTGGATGGCGACCCCAGGACTAGACTTTTCGACGGCTAGACACATTTTCATCCGTGGTCCAGTAGCGCTCATACTAGCTTTAAAATGCCTCCGGTGTTTGTCAGCAGTTGATCATTGGGGGATTCTAGTACGAACATTGAATCAGTAATACCGAGGTACGTCGAGTGGCTTTCTGAGGTCATAACTCGTCCGCGATGGATGGTGATGGCCACCTCCCACAGGTTCAGCTGGCTTGACTTGTGCTTTGTGTGTCAATCGGCCAACTTTCTCGAAGATCCCGTTCCCCACGATGGTACTAGGGATAGAAACAAGCCGAAGGAGGTTGTGCAAATAGCGAAGCATGAGACTAATCGCCAGTAGATTCAGCTAGTCTGGTCACTGCGCTCGAGATAGCTCAATGGTTGAGGCATTAATTTACTAATGAGAGGTTCGTGATTCGAACCCAACCCCAGAATCTTGGCTGCCACTGTCTAGACTTGGGCAGCTTGACAGTATCCCCGCCCTCATGCTTCCTTCTGGTGAAATTGCAGCTGGGCACCGAAAGGGTGTTACAGCCGTACGATTTTTTATGTGACCCACAATTTTGGTACTCCGGAATTCCCGTGGTAAGTCTGACTCTGTTAGCCGGTCTCTTTCCTTCAACACGTCTGCTGAACAAGCAATGCTCCGGAAGTTCACGAATATAATAAGGTCTTTGCATTCGCTACTTCCGAGAGTGCGAGAGTATACACGGAGCTCTACAAGCCTCCGTACACAAAGTGGTGTCCGACAAGAACTCCCACTCCACTCTTGCTCAGTTGCGTAATCGATGAGGCAGTGAGCCGAACGCTGGAAGGTCTTCGGAACACTGGTGGTTTAATAGCTGCTGGCGATTGCCTGAATAGGTGTCTGGGAGTGTATGTACCTCGGAATAATTTTGGTAGCGTAGCACTGAGTTCCTTCCTGTCCACTTTTGTTGTGTCCTCCACAACGGGGCTTTGAAATAAATCATGGTTGCACGGCAGTGAAGCATTGCTGTTAACACTTTTGTGCTGTCGATGATATCGGTGATGGTGCGAAGATGTGTCTTCTCGCGTTGGATGGGTTGAACATACTCGAGGCATCTGTTTCTTTTCTCACCTTTTTTGTGCGCGGCTGCTTATGGCAGCAAACAAGTAAGTCAGCCGGATAACCTATCACTAGGTAATCATCTAGCATTGATCCATTGCACCCATCTGCCCGTGTCACCGGACGTTTTCTGGATTCCAAATATTCGCACCATGTTGGGACAACTTCAAAGCCTTAGCCACGAACTGGAACTCGTGTACTTTCCCGGCTTCTGACTTTGGTGCAAGCTTACGAGCATTGCCTGGTTTGCAGCACTGTCCACAATGGGCACCGGATCGAATGCCGCACCAGGCGCGCGACCTAAGTCAATTCAGGCATAAGTGCCTCGAACGAATCGACTTCAGGGAGCAGATCGTGGCCCTACAATGGAATTACTTCATATGGAACAACGGATAATTTCAGCACGTCGAGGTCGAGGACACATTCAAGACCATCTGCAGCAGATCTCACACCAATATTCTCACTGCCAGACGGATCAACCGACGAGTGACAACGACCTCCCGAACCATCACAAAACATATACGATGCAGGCGAATGAACAGCAGCCCCAAGTGGGAGGCTTTCTGAAGCACCAACATCATGTCGAATGGATGGATGTGTCGCGAGATGGGAACGTACCGAAGGATGACATCGTCAGAATATGGGCCATTCAGTCGAACATTTTTTTTTATCTCGGCGCTTCTACTCACGAAGATTCTAGTCCAGCCTTGTAGGAAGTTCTGTGATAACTGATAAATGTCAATTTCCCTTTGTCTCCACAAAAGGTTGTCCCAGGTTACCTCATTTTTGGTGCATCATAGTGGGTGGAACAGCAAGTCGAAGACTAATAAGTGAGTTGCAATACGCAACATGGTGATAGACCACGAATGAACGTCCTTGTGCGGCTTCCCACAGTTGTTTGTCACATAGTTGATCGCCTAGTTACTATAAGGCCCAACACATGACCCATGAAATTTTAGGAAGCCTGATAAGTTAAAGGTATTAGTGTGTGACCAAGCGCAAATATTGCCTTTTTCGCTTGCCTGAAAGTACCCGTAGCGAGAGAAAGATACGACCGGTGTCAATTTTTTTCCCTCGGGCACATGACTCCCTACGCTATAAATCACAACTGACCTCGTGTAGACTTCACTGTGAACTTGGAATCGAACCCCCTCACAGTGTTCATTGTTTTCAGTCCATCAATATGCCGCTGATAAGCCTAGTAAGTTTTTTCTTTCCCTCTGAACACAGGTCGGTGTCAACCGTTGATTTGTTGATGCTTTATCTCTCCGACTGGCATGAATATAAATTACGCCGGTTCCGAAACTGTTGACACCTATCCCAGGGAAGTCCCACCACCACCGCCTCCTCCGCCACAGTATCCATCTCAAAGGGTTCGAAAGGAGACATCGCAACTCAGGGTCCCGTCAATGGGTTGTTCGGTAGAGATTCGTTCTCCACAGAGCTCTCAGCGCAGCAGTACAATCCGACAGCGTGGTATCACACCTGGTCGCATTGATGCAGCCACTCCTACTGCATCGTGTAAGTTCACGATTTTGTGTGGTCTCTAAGGAGGGTACCTATCGTTTACATTCAGTCTAGCTGATGTTCAGTCTCCTTATCAACACACGGTCTATTCGGATAAACGTTTGTTTCCGTTTTTTTCTCGATACACCTAGCGTAACTGATTCTCTTGTTTTCTATTCAAATTTCAGCCGGGAGGTATGTTGAATAGTTCGTTGTTTTGTATCAAGTGGCCTCGTTAGCGTTCATCTGCCTTATCTATGTACCATGCTTCTTCGGTAGCCCTGTCCTCTCTTTGGCTACCGTGGCCAACTCGTTCGTTCTCTTCTGCCCAGTATATTCAAGGCATTATGAGTGTGTTGTCAAGCCTGTCGTTTACCCCGCTTCACCTCTAATTATGATGTGGCTTTTACTCCATCTTCCACTGATTTCGTTCTCATTATCACTGGAGTGCACTGTCTGCCTTATGGTCGCGCATTTGGTTACCATCCCTTCATACAAACCGGGAAGGAGTTAAATTCGCTAACTCAAGAGTTAAGGTGCGACTAATCGCCTCGTGGTTTGACCCAACCCAGGACTCTCAAATGATTGGATTGCTCTGAGGGTTGCACAATCTACCCACAGCCCACGGGCTTCCTGGCAAAAAGTATTTCAGCTGTAGCGCCCTTTTGATGTCTAACTAGCATGCTACCAGAAGAACGCACGAGGGCTGGGATAGTGCCATACCACCGCCCCAAAGGCTTGGCTGTATGTTCCACACTCTCCCACTTTCTGGCGATCGAGACTGTTGGAACTGGAACCAGTATACCCATGGAACACGGTTTGTGGCTGATTAATTGATTTTGATTGATAGCTACACTGACTGATGCACAAAATCGAACGCACGCTTGAAGCCAAGAAACAGTAAGATTGTGGGTCGTTTGTACATATGGCGTTGCTCCGAAGTTCTGGTCGATGCAACTTCTATCCGGTCAAAATCTTGCTGGATGATCACAGGTCGAGTTCTCGCATGCTGGTTAAGCGGATAACCAAGCCGACCTGGCGTCAACTTTTCATTTGGTCCCAGTCATTCTTACGGTAACATCTTACCGGTTGCGATCGCAAAACTCTTCAGGTTGTGCTGCTTAGTCACTTATGTCACCCTCATACTCAGTGGCGATACACAAACGCCTTGGACTCGTTTGAGCGCCGGATACGTCAGGCGATTATACCAATCTTACCATTGGAATGTTCAAATAAGAGGAGGAAGGAACCCTGTAAGCTTTCATCCAAATTTTTTCATATCGGTGTAGGCAAAGTGGTTTATTCTGGTGATTCCACACCAATGGGAGGGGGAGGCACTAGACTCGACTTTCGCTCTTATTAGAGCTCATCAGCAGTGCATATCCTGGGACCTGCCGGGGTTTGAACTCCACACATCTGACGTGCGAGGCAAGTGTGTTACTACTGTCCTGCCAGCGTGTTTGAATTTTTACGTCTTGGCAGATAACACATCCACGTTACAACTGGACGGCCGAAGTGGTTAGAGCGCGAAATTACTGATCGGAAGGTCCGTGGTTCGAATCCGACCTCTGCCTCTCGACTTCCCCTGTCCAGGCTTGGGCAACCTGGCAGTATCCCAGCCCTCGTGCAACCTTCGGGTGGCATGGCAGTTAGGCACCGGAAGGGTGCTACAGCTGAACGATTTTTTTTCAGTTGGATCTCTCAAAGTTGCACCATATGTAGCTTGTGCGCACCTCATTTTACCGACTGGGTTCCTTAAACGGTTTACCGAGTACGTTTTACTGAATCTGATGAGTCTATGTGATTCATATTCCGTAATAGAGTGTGTGGCAGTCCCATCTGTTCGGTTTAGATGGGTTATGACGCTTGTACTCATCCATCGTCATCTCTGCCATAGCGGCCGCAGCACAATGATCAAACAAGTATTGTGCTACTGAATCGATCATCAGTAGTCAGACGACAATCGACATCTGTTTTCTATCCGCTTCTATCACTAATTTGGTGAATTTTTTCACTTGGAAAACACTCTTAGCTGACTGGGAAGTTTCGGAAACTTTCCAAACCTTTCAAGAAACTGGTGTGTTCTCTTTTCGCGGTTAATGCACAAAACTGCACTTTTGCGTTTTTATCCGCAAAACGCACACTGTTTTTATTTCAGTTTTGGTTTGGTTTGGTGTTCCTTCGATGTTGTCCTCTTGATGTTATCACTGCTGGTCCTCTATGCGTCTACTCATTGCCTTTTACCGTACCTGTGCTCAGCTCTATGCTACCTAAACACTCGACCTCTGCAACTTCGCACCGTGTCAAATCGCTTCCGGTTTTTTACCGTTGTCTACAGCGATCACTCAGAAGAATTTGTAACCCATCTTCACAACACTTTGGCACCTTTAGAGCAGTTAAATTGATATAAGATCCCTCCATCTGTGTTGCTACGGCGATCATGGTATTCTTTTTGTCGAGATTTCCCTGAGGAGTGGTTTTCCACTCGGCGTAATCTTCTAACCTTTGCGTTTGTCCTGTTCAAAGATTTTTTGGTCATGTTTTTGTAGCAGAACCGAACACATTCCTTACCGTCCTTAATTCTGTTTTCTACAAGAGCCAAATTTACACAGCTGTGGATTTTTTTGGAAGCAGTGTTTTTCAGTAGCTTGAAAGGGACGTACGCTTGCGCAACAACCCTGGATGTATTTCGCATAATCTTTTCCGGTGCCTACTTCAGTCACATAGTATCCAGTCTAGGAAGTGTAATACTGTGTTTCCGTTTCGATATTGGTGGATGGCTCAGCAGTTGTGGTGTCATGTGAGCAGATCTGTCTGTTTCTTTCGTACAGATTTCGCACCAATCCCCGTTTCTACTTTGAACACAATTCAACAGCCTGATAAGTTAGTTCTTTTCCTTCCGATCGAGTGCATTTTCTTCCAAGTAAACAGTCCATGGAAATGAACATCCGCTCAGGTTTTGAATATGTTTGTTTTGTTTGTTCGTTTTCCTTCCAACGGCGTTGTACTTTACCAATTAGTTTCTATCATTTAACCGCCCCCACATTTTATCCGCACAGCCGCGAACCTGCACTCTACACGCCAAGTAGCTCATCAGCCTCGAATACCTACGCGCGGAAGTGGAGAACAACGACCTGCCTTGGTCTATGCCCCCGCTTCTCATGCGTCACGTGTTCTACGTTCCATTCCAACGCCAAAAGTTGGAGTTGACAAAACACCTGCGGACCCGAAGCATACGCCGTTACTCTCCCGTCTCTTGCCCCCAGGCTTTGCCTGTGCCGCTAGCAGTCCGGATGGATCATCGTCGACGGCATCCGTACAAACTGTACGTACGGCCGACGAGTCAGAGCAAGGGGATCACAGTAGCATGGGCCATGAAGATAGAACCAGACGAACCGGGGAGTCGGCTCGGCTTACTTCAGGTGATCAAAAGCCACATTCGCAACGGTACAAACCACGAGCTGCACGGTTCGCTCCGTCACATGCTTCCGGGGTGAGTTCGCGTTTCATCCTTTGAGCGTGATCGGTCATTTATCTGCGTCATACAGCACTGGTCTCTCACCACACCATGGCTCGCGCACGCATGTTTTTATTGGAGCTGACAACATTGCCACATTGTCCAACTATGGACTGAAGATGTTTAAAGTCTCCTTCAATTTGCTCACAGCGAGCTACCTCACAGTGTCTGCATGTACCCAGAAACTTCCGATTTATTGAACCAGCTTCGAGAGAGGATCTGGAGTGGAGCGTTTTTTCGGGGATAGGGTTAGATAAAGTTCAGCCAACGGGCATAAATAGGCTCTCCATTGGTCGTGTACCGTTACGTTAGAAAATCAAACGATATTTGCACTCGCTTGACAATTGGACTCAACAATTTACCACTTGACATCGCCATACTGCTCTTCTAAAGGGTATCATATGCCGAGGTGTAACTCGTCTGTCAGTTGTAATTATACATGCACCCATGTTGTCCATATTGCCATTTGTTCATTCATCTCTGTGGCACGGACGTTGACGATGAATGCAATTCGAATTTCGGGTTGTAGACATTTTACTGTCAACAACTGTTAGTTGTTAGTTTCTTTACTTTAAGTCTCTTGTTTGACAAAAACACTTGGGAATGTTGAAGAAGGCTGACGTGGCTTCTTCGACAGCTAGCCCTTCTAACTCATCATTGTTGCGATTACATTACAGCCTTCAATTATATAAAATCAGGACATGGAATTAGGGCTTCATCGCCGCGCAAAATTACCTAGAGTCACAAAATACTCTGTGTGAACGCGGACCAAGCGTATCATTTCTAGTTCACAAGCATATACTGCTTCCGGAACCTCTCACGAATTTTGTCTCCAAACACAGTCTCCTGCCCTTCCGAAACCCACAATCCTATTGCTAGTGCGGTTCATCATTCGGTGCATTCATTATACTCTAAAACCGAGTCTAGCTGGTTCTTTTTTTGGCCAAACACTGTTGTGCTGTGTTTACGTGTTTAGTAAAGGAGAACTTTCCTAAAGAACAGACAATGGACAAAGATTGTCATACCCGAATCGTCATTCTCACGGTATGGGAGTGGAGGAACGTGACTTTCGATTTGACACTGAACAGTAGCTCAACTCGTGAACACCTGCACGCAAGGGGGGGGGGTTGAGAACATGGTAGTAAGGGATATGGGAACACCGAATAAACGCTCGGGAGAAGCTTTTTTAAAGACTAGTGATAAGAAATTTGAAAACCCCACCATACTCTGTTCATACACATTTTTTTATTGCAGTTTATGCCACTGGATACATTTACCGCCCTTTATGCTTTCCGGATGTCTTTATTTTCTCTACCTTAAAATTTTTTTCAACTTGGCTGTATTCTGCTCTATCCTGAGTTTACTGTATGTAAACCTTTGTAATCAGGCATACTACTCACTGTTTTCGTTATTGCCCAAATATATTCTGACGGGTTTTCCTTTTGCTCAGGTCACTTCGCATCCCATCGCTGGTCCTCACAGTGGTCTGTCAGAACGGGCAGACGCAGTCCAACTGAAAGCTGGACAGTCACTGACATATGCACTTCGGGACGAAATCTCCTCGTACTATCGTCATGATCCGACGGATTCTGGTGATCCGGAAGGTCGTGAGGATCTCGTATCCTCACCACACAGTGGTAGCACGGTTCCATCGACTACGGAATCTCAGGAAGCTCTTTCTGATAAGGTAGGTCCTTGTTCCTCATGGCAGGAAGTTGGTTGACTCGTCCGCGCATTTTAAGCCATCTTTTTGGGATTGGCACCATGAATATGAGGGGGAATAAAGGCAAATGAGGGTATTCTTTTTCAGCTGCCGTCACGAATAGACTGGACTTTACCGTGTTATGATGGTTTGTGTGCCCCCCCCCTGGACCCAGTGAGCTCATAACATTGAAATGAGGGTATTCTTTTTCAGCTGCCGTCACGAATAGACTGGACTTTACCGTGTTATGATGGTTTGTGTGCCCCCCCCCTGGACCCAGTGAGCTATGCCATAACATTGAGCTATATCTTAGCACATCGACCGTCGGGTGGTGCTATCAGCCTAGTCACCTTGCTTGCTGCACATAGCAGTGCGGGCAAATGAAAACAGACCACTATTGATGCCCCCTTGTCTTTATTTCACATACTTATTCCTTCCCCTCCCCCAACCCCGATAATAACTCTACTCTTGTAGGCGTGTACAATGTAGTGACAGAATCAGAGAGGTGACTTGGCAGTGGAGTATGAAAGAGATCACAAAAAATCTGGGTGCTGTCGGTGCGACTCGCCTTACAGGATCGGGACCGTATAATCTTCATATCTTGCAGCGCCTGGTTGCTACTAACCGATGTCAGTGGCGTTCTTGTTACCACTTTCTATCCGGATTGCCTGAATGAGTGTCTGGAGGTATATTTACCTCGGAATTACTGTGACAGGCAAGAGCTCAGTCCCTTACCCACTTTCTTTCATTATTTTCTTCACGGCAACGAAGCATCAGCGTTGAACACTGATGTTAGGCTGTCAATTTTTTTCATCAACTATTTTGCTTTCTTCCTTAGGCTGTTGCGTCCTTAGGCAGTATATCTGGCATTCAAATCGCTGGAAGCTACTAAGTGCCTTTTGAGGGCTTTAACGTTTACGGTTCACCCAACGGATTTGTGCGCCCTAATGAATGCTCTCTGTTATGGTTGAAAACGAAAGAAAATAATTTTTCGTTCGCTGGTTTATGCGTACCCCTGGTACCCAACGTCTCCGTCACTTCGCTTCTTCCAGCATGGATATGGAAGCGACCAGATACCGGAGCGAAAGCTATCTTCCGAGGAGGGTGATCGTGAAGAGCCTCTACGATGTTCCGCCGATGAAGATGAGGTCGAGGGCGAGACTGGGTCCAAAACGGATGACAGGTCGCCGGACAGTGAAACCCAATTGACACTTTGTGCTCCAGAAGTGTCTGGATTTCCGAAAATGTTTCATCGTATACCGCATGCCTACGTAAACGACGAACAGGCTTTGGCCGCAGCCGAACTGGACGTTAATCCATTGTTCTACACCGGTTACGAGGATGAACCTCGTCTAAGACGTGCTGATAACAAGGTAACTGATACGCGGTCCGAGCTAACGTGTGTTGGTCCCCCACCGTCCTACCCATCCACGGTGGTTGTTGAAATTCAAGCTCCACGTGAGTTTCTTCTTCGATCAGTGTGATCTTAAAAGCAGAATGCAGAAAGCATTTTACGTGCGTGTGTTCTTTGATTTCTGAATAGTAGTGGGCTGCCGATCGATGTGCGCCTTCGCCACGCTGTGCTCACTCACAAATGTGGAAGAGCATTGGATATCCAGAAGCAGATAAAGCAAAGAAGCAATCTCTATGAAATATCCGCAGGATTCTCTTCGTCCATCCGACTGGGCGATCCCGTTTATGCGAAATTCTGGTATTCCCTCTCTGATAGGACTCGTTCATTTGTTCTAACTAGGACAGTGATCCTACAATGGAGTGACCTCATTTTGTAATGGTTATGGAATAACATATCCCTTGCAAGTACGTATGTAGCACGACTAAGTAGATAACCGTGTGACGAACCAGGAAATGTGGCCAATCACCTGCTAACCTGTTTAACTGAGTTCGCATGAAGTACGTTAGATTACTTGTTAATGTTGTCCATCCACATTTGATCTCGAAAAGGCACAACACATACACACGCAGCGCAATTACCAAACGGGCGAGATGGCCCAAGTGGTTAGAGCGCGAATTTCCTGACCGGAAGACCCGTGGTTCGAACCCGACCTCTGACTCTCGACTTCCACTGTCTTGGCTCGATCAACCTGAGAGTATCCTAGCCCTCGTGCTTCCTTCGGGTGGCATGGAAGCTAGGCACCGGATAGGTTGTTACTCAAGGCGCAAACTGGTCGTAGGTGAGAATATGAGAAACGGCAGGTTGAGCTGGAGGGTTTTGGGGGTAGATTACTTTGTCTAGCTGTGCAAATTAGTGGCAGTTTGTTTGCCTGATGGTTTTGGGAGAAGAATTACTTCATATCACCAAAAGTAAAGTCCATCCCTTTAGATATGCTTGCATCGTTGTTGGTCGATTTGAACTGGATGCAGTTTTTACCATATTGCTTACTGTTATTTAGTGTTTTTTCTGAAATTTATCATGAAGGTAGGCAGGTTTCACCTTTCCTTTCTTGAGGTCGCCATTTCCATCGGGCTTTCCAGGGTTCCAATCAATGTTGATACTGTAGGTTACATTATCGCCGTCAACGTGTTTTGCGGATAATTATGACTATGAATAAGATATGGTACACGGTATTCCCCAATCACTTTCCTCACATGCAGCACTGTACCCAAGGCAGGCGAGTTTCTCACGCATCGTTCGCACTCGTTCGCAACCAAACTTGTCCAGCGACTATGTGAACCTGCCGGAGGATTCCCTGGTAAACTGGCTTACCACAGCTGTTACCACTCATTACCCTTTCATCGCTTGTTCCGCTGCAGCAGCTGGCTACTATTTCAGTCCTACAAAGTGTTTGCACAAACGGAAGCGATCGTCCGTACCGAATTCGGAAGATACCGTGACTCCTTCCATATCGCTCCCCCCTCCTCCGCCACCCCCTCTGCCACCCCTTCCACTTCCACTCCCACCACCACCGCCACCTCCGTATCGTCCACATTTCCCCATGGGTCCACGAATGCCGATTCCCTTCATGACTCCCAGGCCAAGTATTGGTGCTAATATGCTTTGTCATTTGTCGAACGGATCGTTTTGTTACGCACCTTTCCCGGCTGGGGGTTCGTACACAGTGATCTCCACAACTGCGACAACCGCATGCCACGCGCCCGCCAATCTGTTGTATTTTCACCCAAATTGGTGGTTTGCAAGACCCCCAGGTCCTGTAAGTTATGCCCAGCGGATTCCGTTTGAGCAGCTGCACGAAAGGCCAACGGAGACCTGTGGTGAGCAGGGTACGTTGTTTTCGGTGTTGACATCATTTCATTGGCCACTTCTGTGTAGTGGACGATTAATAATCATCTGCAAAATACTTGTTTATTCTGTCCACTGTAAGTTTGGGGGCGAGATGGCCCAAGTGGTTAGAGCGCGAATCTACTGACCGGAAGGCCCGTGGTTCGAACCCGACCTCTGCCTCTCGACTTCCCTTGTCTAGGCTTGGGCAACCTGGCAGTATATCAGCCCTCGTGCAACCTTCGGGCAGCATGGCAGTTAGGTACCGAAAGGGCATTACAACTGAACGTTTTTTCGAGAGTAGCCTAACATAGATTGTTCTGCAGTTGTCAGTTCAGATTGTCTCCGGAGGAGAATTGCCATATCTAGCATCCTCTGTGATCTTCGACCGGGAGTACTTTCTGCGGTAAAACTATGGGGCCACCAAGTAGGGCGTGAGAATGATGGAAACTCGGGAACTACGCGCACATAGTGAGCCCAATGAAGCACGCAAAACTGAGCCGACCGTTTAGGAGTTTTCATCAACCTTAAAGTAGCCATTCTGTTTTCCGTAGTGTCAGTCTCAGAGCACTGAGACTTTGCAGGCACTGAACACTTCTCAGCCGCCAGATTTCATCCCCACACATCTCATAAGCACCTACCATCGGGGGTGCCCGGGAAATGACCTGATTTTCAACCTCGGATTGTCCGTAAGTGGCTAGTTCTTATGTAAAAATTCCAAAAGAACTCGATCAAAACTAGAGACAGCAAAAATTCTGATGAAATAACTGTCTATTTCAGTGGATTATTCTTTTCACTTAACACTTGTGCAAAGTTTTATACAATTGGCTTTTAGGGTTTATTAGGGCATGGGACATAAAATTAATTCGTTGGCTACGTTGTTGGCAAGCACCAGAAGCTGCGTTGGTTGGGACATGTTTTACGCATGCCGAACATCGTTTACCCGAAAAGAGTACTATTTTCCATACCCAATTCGGAGTGGCGTAAACAGAGAGGTGGCCAACCCATGACCTGGCAGAGGAGTATGAAGGAGATCACGAAACGCTTGGGTGCTGTCGGTTCTACTCGCCTTCCAGGATGGGGACCGCGTGATCCTCACTGTGCCTGGTTGGAGACACTACAAGATATGGCTGGCACCCGATGTCAGTGGCGTTCTTGTTGTCAGTTTCTGTCCCGATTGCGTGAATGAATGTCTGGAGGTGTATGCACCTCGGAATGATTGTGTTAAGCTAGCACTAAGTCCCTCCCCCATCCACCTTTATTCTTTTCTTTACAATAAGGCTTTCAAATAAGTCATGGCTGTACGGCAGTGAAGCATTGGTGTTGAGCACTGATGTCATGCTGTCGTTGATGATGATGATGAATAAAAATCAGAGTTTTCGTAGTTTTTCACGAGGTTTATATGACTGGTTTTGGGATAGTCCAAATCGAGCTGTCAGGTTTTATGGTAACTGCCAGAATTGGGGTATTTGATCTTTTTATCAGTGTACAGCTGTTCTTAGCACTATGGATACACCCATATAATGTGCATATATCATATGTGTGTATATATGTACATATAATGTACATAACACCAGACCACAAGACAAATACATCACCATGTTGTTTTTGCTCAGTTCCATGTGAGATCGATCCATCGGCCTCTTACCTTTCCCATGGTGCGCGTCCAAAACGAGGTTTCAGCAACGCATCACGCGTTGGTGCTCCTGCTGCGTTTGTCATCTCCACAGCTCCGCACGACCATCCGCCAAGGTTCACTATCGTCAATGGTCGGCCTATGCATTGTTCATCGGAACGTGGTCCGGTTTCGGCTGCCGTCTGTGACAGTTTATTAGGTTCAAGCAAGTTGGAGTCGGCCAGCGCCACCGCCGGCCGAGGTGTATCGGACTCTTCTCCGAGCATCCAAAATGTCCCCGGGGAGCTAGATATCCAATTTTTATGGGAAGAAAATCAACAACTGAAAGCGTTACTTCATGAGGCTACGACTCGATTGCAATATGTGAATGTGGTACGTTTTCTTTCCGTTCTGTTTCCTTGTGAGCGAATAGTTTTCATGTTCCCTCCTTTAAACACATTCGCATTTTTCAGCTGGAATGTCATCTCCAACGGTTAAATATGCTGGTCGGATCAATGCTAGCTTCACATCACCGGCAGTGCGAACTTGACCATCAGCTCCATGGTTGCCCTCATCAAGAATTCTTCCCTGCAGAGTCCCGCCCACGAGCACCACCCCCACCATCGCAACCCCCTCCAACCGACTGGATGTATCCAGTTGTTCCCAGCAGTCTACCCGCTGTGCCCATCGCGCCATACTACTCGCCCGGCTATTATCCTTTCAATGTGGCCACACCGGCAGTGATTCCAGAACGATCAATCCATATGGGCCCAGTACAGCCTGGGTGGAATGTTCGACCTCAGGTCTGTTCACCTGTCTTCATGCTGCTCCATATTACTGTCGGCAGTTTTTGGTCACCAAGGTGTATGTTTTTCAGTTGAAATTGAAAAATTCGTTCCTCATTAGATTTCTCTTGGCTCGAATTGGACTGATCACATAAGTTTATTCTTCCTTAATCACGTTGATGCTCCCCGAGTGTCTGAATGTCAACAACAGCAGACAATTTGCCTCGAACAGACAACACTCAGACAAAAATCAGCAGAGGAACTCAGAGGCAAAGGACAATGTAAAGTCAGTCAACTAGCAACCATTGAGGCGCTATTCAAATGAACCAAAACATCCACGGGGCAAATCACTGCCGGTACCGTCCTTGTTGGAGCTCGCTCTCCAATTTTCATCAATCTTATTTCACACTTCAACACCAAAATCTACGTATATGGAAAATTAACTAGTGTTCTTGTGAATCTCTCGTTTGTAACAGCTGTTTTTCTCGAAACTCAGGAGGTAGATGAGAATTTTTTAATGATTGTCCAGCTGATGACCTGGCCACTGCGGTTCCTGTGTCTCGGTATGCACCAAACTACTTTGTCTAGACCTTAACCGGTGTCTGATGATAGCTTAATTTAAGTTTTCTCGTTGTCGCACTTCAGTGAGATGTTGGGATCAGACATTCTTCTAGTGTGTTCGGCAATGAAACCTCAGCGTCTAAACTGACGTTGCTATTGTTGTTTCGCTATGCCGCGCTAATATCTTTGCTTTTTTTGGTCAGCCGTATACATATTAATGTTTTGTGTTATCCTGCCATCCCCACTGTACTTTCTAGATGATGTTTGCCCCAGATAGCTCTGGCCGTTCTACCAGGTCCCGTGTGAACACGTCAGCTTGGCCTCGTACTGTTTCATTAGATCGTGCAGATGGTGTTGGTGGATATTCCTCTGGCTACAGCAGTCGCTGGTCTGCGGCCAATGTTGTGCCCGACCGAAGGTCGGCCCAGCCCAAAAAGCATTCGAAGCAGAAAACGGTTCGCGTGGCCGATGAGCCAATAACCTTCACTCCCGATGACCGATCTCAACAACCATTACCATTTCGTTCGGTTCAAGTGACTCGTCGGCGATTGGACCACTCGGTCCCCGCATCAAACGCCCACTTATCTCCAAGACCCTCAGGAGCCTGCGAGACACATTACTGTCCTCACTCTGGACGCGAGCTATTTCGTGAAAGTGAGTGAACAACCTAGTTTTTCATTCATTATGCTTCGTAGGTGGTGGGTCTCCTGGACTCATGACTAAGGGAGACTGATGACGCGTTTTCGCACCACCAGGGTCCTAAACACTTACTGGCGATATTTGTGTTTTATCAAACAGAGGTGAGCTAAAACGGCAATCAGTAGAGCGAAGGTTGACTTAGATCAGGAACGCCGTTTGTATGACACATCATGTATGAATTCACGTGTGCTTGCACACCGATAGGCGTAGAACGGATGGAATGCATCTCCAAACAAATGAACTAATCGCATCGCCATTCATGTCACGCCCCTGTTCAATGTCACGCTCACATTTGGAACACTTTTTTATTGAATCATATCAGTTTACGTGCTGCGCCGCAAAGTTTTTCCTCTGATTTCCCGTCCTTAGTCTTCTCTATTAATCTCTTCTTCCGAGTGGTTAGAGCGCGAATTCACTGACCGGTAGGTCCGTGGTTCGAGCCCGACCTCTGCCTTTCTACTTCCCCTGTCTAGGCTTGGGCAACCTGGCAGTATCCCAGCCCTCGTGCAACCTTCGGATGGCATGGTACCGAAAGGGTGCTACAGCTGAACGATTTCTTTCTCCCAAAGTTGTCGGGATCACACAAGTCAGACTGGTAATACGAATGATTTTTCAAGATGTGTAGACGCGTGCTATTTCAGGCTATTCGACTGGTTGATGACGGTTCTTTTTTGTTCAATACACACGTATGACCAAACAAATCTCAGATGTTCTGTTTAATTTACTCTTATTCGTACCGTTTCATCGTGAACTTGTGTGCGTCAGTATAAACTTTTCCACCTTTTTTTACTAGCCAATCCTCTGATCAAATATCAGCCACCCATGTCTAGTCCAGCCCAGACGAACAGACCCATGGATATCAGCCTGATCAATCGCTATCCAGACTTAGAAGAACAGGAGGATATGAAACACTTGACACCACATACGGAGACAATACCAGCGAAAATCGCCGTGAGCTCAGTGTACCAAGTTGCTTCCGCGTGTCGTGTTTGCCTGGCCGATTCGGGTGTGCATTCTGGCGATTCACAGACCCAACTTGCTCCGGTTGGACAGACGGGGATAGTCGTATCGACGACTCTTTCAAACACATACATGCCACCCCAGATAGGTTCCTCGTTACAAGCTTCCACGGACTACGCGATCCATTCATCCGCGGGAGGTCCCACACGATATGTGTTTGCCGTTTCGGGCACACAACCGAATGTGGAAGCGCAGGTAATGGAACTGGAGTTCCGTTTTTCCAACACTTTGGCAGGTTGTGTTGGTGTTTCATCTGTATTGCTTGCCTTAGCTAGGTACAACGTTAAAACTGGACTATAGCAACAAGTAGTAAAATATAATATTTGGTTCACTGGCGCCCTGGGCCAGTTTCCGATCAATATTCTATCTGCACGCGAATATCCAGTGCTGGGAAGTTCGGCTTCCACTGACTAAAAGTAGTTTATGATTATGTTCAGTCAGTTAGAAAACGCTTGGAACCAATTGAGTAGTCATCATTTTCGGAAACAGTCATCAGATTTATTACTGGGTAACGTTTCGCTTTTGACACAAAAGCTTCGTCAGCCCAAGTGATTAACTTACGAGATTCGTTGAGATTTAAGGCGGAAGAGAACCAGTCAGTAGTTTATGATTATGTTCAGTCAGTTAGAAAACGCTTGGAACCAATTGAGTAGTCATCATTTTCGGAAACAGTCGGCAGATTTATTACTGGGTAACGTTTCGCTTTTGACACAAATGCTTCGTCAGCCCAAGTGATTAACTTACGAGATTCGTTGAGATTTAAGGCGGAAGGAGAACCAGTCAGTCAATCAAGGTGTGTTGGGTGTCGGCCAAGGGATTTTGTGTGTTAGAATGAGCCACCAAGTGTTAAGACCGATGGGGAAACCTACATAGACTTAAGTCCAACTTAGGGTCTAGTTCTTTCCAGTTTGGTTCAGATGAAGATTCCTCTTGAACGTCGTTTGGAATTTTTGTCCGTTTGTTTGTTTGAAGTTTTATTTGTGTAGGAAAATACTGAATTCTTCACACAGATCCTGCTTTCAATCGATCGCCATTAGATCGATGACCTCGATATTATTCAACTGACAGCACTGTGGCTGTCATCTCCAACTTCTCACCGATCGATTCAGGATATCCGTGTAGTGGTTTCTCGCACTGTCTTGAATACTCTGTTTTCATTCACTTTTCTAACCACCAACAAGCGGTACGTGCGTGCGTGCGTCCGTCGAGGATCCCCTTCCCTTTGTGTGCGCACGTACCCAGGCTGATGTACCCCTGTTAACTCGAAAGGACAACTGGCAAAATCCTACTGTAACACCCAACTCCGCTGACTGCACCATGAGCATAATGATAGTGTGCTCTGAGCACAGTTCAATTCAGTCCAGTTTGACGATCGGGAACCTTGTATGTAGGTATGATGGATCGGGTCACACCGCAGCTTGTGGTATCGGGTAGTGTAGGACAGAGGGGGTGCAAAATATTTTAAAAATAGAAATATAATAAAGAACAGCCAGAGAATAGATAAAACACCGCCACCGTTTGTTCGCCATCGCCATGGCATTGAATGCCTCCAACCATTAATGTAGTGAGTCTCTGACATCCCAACCTACACCAGAGCAACCAAGACCCTTTGTGTTTTTTTCGTGCTCCGTCTGCAGGTCGTGCGTTGTTCATCTTCTGTTCCCATCATGCATGTGTAGTGATCGAAGACCAGCAGTCTTCTCCTGTCTTCAATGCACAGAAACCAGGCTTCACATCTAAAGTGGTTGGCTTCTTGAGGCGATATGGCCCAAGTGGTTAGTGCGCGAATTTACTGACCGGAAGGTCCGTGGTTCGAACCCGACCTCTGACTCTCGACTTCCCCTGTCTAGGCTTGGGCAACCTGGCAGTATCCCAGCCCTCGTGCAACCTTCGGGTGGCATGGCAGGTAGGCACCGAAAGGGTGCTACGGCTGAACGATTTTTACGCACTGCTGCTTTGTACGCTGACAGGCTGATGTAACGAACACCCCAGAGGTGCCTAAATGGGAGGCATTCAGAACGGCCTTCAGCGATGCTAGCTAGCCCTTGCTTTGTCAATAGACCTGTCAACTGCCTAGATAGGTAAGACTGCCCTTATACATCCTATGCTTCTAATACCAAGACGTACTTTAATGGTCCACTCTCCCAGTCGTGTAACAGAATCTTCCACTTGGAGCTGCAAAACGCATGCGCTAGCAAATGTAGTATTTGGTTTACTTGGTATCTGGATGGAATCTGAACCAACTAGCACTCGAATCAGAGAAGCTTCACCGAAGGTCACCTCATGCTAAGGCTGGAATCGCGAGCAACCACACCCCACAGCTTTGCAGTACACTCGATCGTCGCAAACAGATGCCGATAATCACATCGAAGTAAGCGCACAAGAGCGCTTAGTGGCTGCGTTCTCATTGATCATCAGTATACATATATATAATATTGTATATATACACTCGTTCGAGAGCTACTCTGCTCGCAAGAGCCTTGTTGTTCCTCAGGCCCTTAGGCCAGTTTTTCGCGTACAGTCGTCGTCATGGACATAATACGTCGGTATCAATAGCCGCGCCTCACTGGCATGGGAAGGGCGTGGGAAGAAAGAGGAATGATGGGGACTTACTGCTAAGGGAGATGTTGACCATATCAATGTCAAAACCGATGTAAACATTGATGAGTTGGTTAACTTGGTAAGCTAGAAAAATGTGTCCATTTTAGGACGTATACTGACTCATAATGTCGGTTTCCTGGACAAATCAGATCAGTGAAGCAATTAGGTTTTGTGCTCAGCAAGTCCACTGACATCATGCCTACACAACACACTATTCGTTACTCTCATTACTCGGCTAATCCGTAACGAGGCAGTTAGAAAGTGCGTTTTCGGTTGTGCAATGAAGAATGTGTCCAGCGCCAGAAGCTGCGTTGGTTGGGACATGTGTTGCGTATACCGAAGCATCGTTTGCCGAAGAGAGTGCTGTTTTCCATGCCCAATTCAGAGTGGCTTAAACAGAGAGGTGGTCAACCCTTGAGTTGGTAGAGGAGTGTGAAGGAGATCACGAAACGCTTGGGTGCCGTCGGTGCTACTCGCCTTCCAGGATGCGGATCACGCGATCCTGTGCCTGGTTGGAGACACTACAAGATATGGCTGCCAACAGATGTCAGGTTGTTGTCAGTTTCTATCCAGATCGCCTGAGTGGGTGTCTGGAGGTATAGGCACCTCAGAATGATTGGCAAGCCACCACTAAGTCCCTTCCCCCTCCACCTTTACTCTTTTCTCTACAATAAGGCTTTCAAATAAATCATGGTCGTACGGCAGTGAAGCATCGGTGTTGAACACTGATGTCATGCTGTCGATGACGATGATGATGTTACTCGAAATCATACGCCGACCTTCTGCTGAACATCTTTCAAATTGCTTACTATTTATTCTTCGTCGAGCTGAAGAATGCCAGTAGGTTGTATGGTTAAGAACGCGTAGCTTGTGATGGCCCCGTAGAAACACGTCTTCCGGAACTGAGTTTAAAGACATATCTGCCACCCACGTCCTTCCCTGTCAACCCATCTCGGAAAGCATTGCACAGTAACCGAAGAACGCTTGGTTAGCGCTATTTTGCTGCAGATATTCGGTGCCTGTACTAGTGGGTGGGACTGAAACACAAACGGGGGGTGGACGTTCTGGGGCTAATCCACTCCTACATAGGAACAAATAGCGACCAGTGACGGGTAAATTCAGACCGCATCACCCAATAACGGGCTTATAGGTGTTGTATTCACAGATGGTCCAATTGGGTAGAGCGCGAATTTACTCAGTGGAAGGTCCGTGGTTCGAACCCGATCTCTGTCTCTCGACTCCCCCTGTCTAGGCTTGGGCAACCTGGCAGTATCCCAGCCCTCGTGCAACCTTCGGGTGGCATGGCAGCTAGGCACCGAAAGGGTGCTACAGCTGAGCGGTATTCACAGATTCTTTCCAAACTGATTGTTCCTCACACCGAATTTATTGCAGTTTCACTCGGGACCTTTGTTGGTCCTCCATATCTCGCTTGTGTTCGTTATCGAGTGTAGACGCACGCAAGATTCGAACTGCCACAAATCTCTACGTAATGTAAAAATAGACTAGAAGTCCTGAAGGTGGAAGTCACAAGCAACCTTGGGTCTCAGTCCTTAACTCTATGCCCGAATCTCATTACTCTTGGTACACTACTCAACTCTCACAGTATGTAATTTTTACCAATTTTCCTTTGCGACTTGCTGAAACAGGTTGTTCCTCATGGGGATCCGAGCCGAGTTTCTGAATTCTGATATTAAAGATGCTTTAAGGAGGATGCCTTAAATCTCGAATTAAGGTGAAAGCTGTTCATGTCTTCCCACACATATTTTCCCAGCAAATGAAAAAAAGGCACGGTCGTCCTTCCCACTGGTAGCCAGTTTCTCCATCAGTTCACCATTTCACAAACCGTCAATTCTGTTGAATACCTGCGCATGGACCAATCAATAACCAACTCCATCCACGATAGGGGTGATAGAATAGGCTCTTTTTGTGTTCCACATTTTGTCCTCCGAGGCCCATACCTTGTATCACTTGTCACCAACTTTAGCCCAAAAACCCCGTGTAAGCGTTACAATTGATCGGATCTCAAATCATGTCACTGATTGCTTACATTTTCACGCTCTGATGAGTTCCTCATTCTCCCCCCTAGGAAACAGCGGTTGACATTTCTACCCCTGTCCATCAGTTGCTTTGTGCACCTCTTCTGCTCTTGCGTTTGGATTTGTCACGATAAGAACCCGAATGGTTTGCTTTTCTACTGACTACCTGGTATTACTATCATATTTCGATTAGCACTACGCTTGACTTGTCGGAACGCTGAATTCAGCTGTCACAAACGATGGTTTGCCGCTTGAAAACAATCCTCGAGTGAGATTAAGTGAGGGTACCTCTGCTCGTGATGTTTGGATGTGCTTTTGCGAAAGTAATATCAAACAGACGTTCTCCTAACTTTAGTCGATCAGCTTTGTGGGCTGGCGTCCGGACTAGTTTCAACTGTAGCTATTTTCAACGCTGTAGTAACCCACATTCCCCCGTCACCGATAAGAAAGTGTCGGAGCGAATTGAGTGCCAGTTGTGTACCTTATGGATCCTGGCTTTCGAAATTCTCGCGGCAGTACGTTCTTCCTCCGGTTGAGCGTGAAAACATAGGTGGCATTCTGATTTTGAAGGCAAAAATCTTTATCTAATTCGGTTTTAACCCGACAATCCGCATGCACCAAACGGATTTTGACACTTAGGTGCAGTGCAATACGACTACTCTATTTTTTCAACATGTTTTGTCTTTTCCACTTTCGGATCAATCTTTATTCCTGGTGTAACTTTATTATTTTCTTATGTTGCGATTTCTGCTTGTAGTTGAAAAACTCATTTTTTAAAGAAAGAAGCGCGTATTTTGTGGATACCTCTCAAGTTCGAACCCGTAAATTTCGAGTTATCCTTTACGGGATCGTCACCGTAAGTCACTGGTTTGATAGTGATCTATGCACGCTATCTTACTTGAAAACCCCCGTTTAAAAGCCTTAGTCCGAGAGAAAGTTCCGTTTCGTAGAACTTGGGGCTAGAGATGGTCTCCCATTCGAAAATGTGGAAAGGTTTTCGGGACAATCAACTCATTGGATAGTCATGACTAGTCATATACTTCGTATGCCAGCGAACCGTTGGACTTACAGGACTGGTTGTTGTTGGCCATACATGAGGTGAGGAAAGCCGTGACGAGGTCAGTTGATGTTTACCGGCGAAGAGTGCTCTTTTGCTTGATAAGGTACCTCGCGTGGTTGGATAGATTTGTGGTTAGAGGGACTGGAGTGAGTCGTTGTGGGATATATGCATCATGGACTGGCGAAACTCGAGTCCGGCAATTCACCCCCTTGGTGTGTATTGTTGTCGGGATACAAGTGTGTTTGTTGTTAGGGTCCTATAAAAATCCGAACGTTTTCATCATTTAGCCACTCAACCTCACCTGCAGGTGAGGCTGACACTGACAAACTGCTTTATTAGGTGCCTTTATTCGCATTTGTTTCATTCATCAGTGCACTCTCCGTGTATGGCTTTACAGTGACTTTCAAACATCCGCACTGAGCCTCATGGAAATCATTGATAGAAATACTCGAACACAACCATAGGTGATGATAGTTCCGTTTGTTGGCTTGTTGTCTCATTGTATGTAACCATAAACACTTTGGAGCTTGGGCTGTTCACCAGTTACCTTTTCACACTTTGCACTCCCGTGTTCTCGTAGCCTTTCCCCCAACCAATTCGAGAGTTCTGTCATGTTGCCTGATGGTCTTTTTTTGGCATTTGACGGATGTGTCATACTCTCTCTTATCCGCATAACTAAAAGTGTGCTCTCTCGCTCATCCAAGCCTAGTGTCCTTTACATTTTCACCCATCCGTCTTTTTTTGCTTGCTGTCTTCCCCTTGTTCGCAGTGTGGAACGTCATCATCTCACATTTCAGTACGAATAATATGCACAGTATATCCGTAGCAGTATGAACAAAACACTCTCTAATATGACGAGGTCGAATGCTATGTCACTACATTCTTCTTGGCTTGCAGTGTACACAACAGTGTTTCGTTTTAGGCACAAGTTAGGGTGATTTCCTCCGAGGCTGANCCCTCCGAGGCTGAACCGCTTAGTGCCGTGTTCCGAACGCAATGGACAAAAGCTCGAAATCTTCCGCTGTCCAACTTGTCGTTCGCCTATTTCATTCTGTAGGCAAACCTCTATCTAGATAGGACCCAATGAGTGCGGATGTTAGCACACTGTCATTTGTTCTCATCCGATCATGCAGCTGGTCAGGCGCTGTTGCCCACTCGTCATAGGATTTCTTAAGATCCACCAATTTTCCAAAGCTGGTCTGGTTTGTTTGTTTCTGGGATTGGAATCAGCCTTCGGTTAAAGCAGAAATGTAGAGGGGCGGCTGTGTTAAATCATAGTTCGAAATGACGGCTATGTGGCTAGCCCGAAGCGGCATCCTGTGGCTGTGACAAATTCCCACACAAGTGCACCTCCAGCGATCCTCACCCACTCCCTCTCGTACAGCTGTGCATTGTCACCGCGTAACGAACGTCAATTACCACGGTGGTCGGCCTATCATTGTAGATGTCTGATGACCCGGACCTGTGATACTCAAAGTTAAACACTTTTATTCGAATCTCTTCGGCTCTTGAGTAGTTCATAGCCCACTCTCTGTGTATTTGCATATCGTCGTTTGAAATCACCCAAGAGTTTTGGCTGCTTATCCTGGAAGTCTTCGGCCGAATTGATCAGGTCTGATAGATTTTATGCGGCTCAGACTAGCGCTACCGGGTCCTCGTCATTCCTGGGCACTGTCCTTTTTTGTTAGGACACGTTGTAGATTCTCCCAGAATAGTGGATACTCGTGCAAGACTACTTTCCTGATGAGGAAAAGATGACTAATTCATTTGCCGAACGATGTTACACGGGGTAATTCCTTTTGATCCAGTCTTTTATCCAGTGATTGTGTGTGCTTACCGATACTGTTCTCAGTCGAGCTCGAGATGGGTCGGTGGTTAATGCGCCAACTTACTGGTCGAAAAGTCCGTAGTTTTCGAACCCAACCTGTGCATCTCGATCGCTCCTGTCTAGGCTTGGGCAACCTGGAAGTATCTCAAACCACGTTTTTCCTGCGAGTAGCGCGGCGGCCAGGTACCGAAAGGGTTTCGCAGTTGAACGATTATCATTATTTTTTGTAAAAACTTTTACAATCTTGAGGAATCAGATGGGATATCGGCACGCCAGTAGTTAATTGCACTTGTCTTTCAGGCCGAATCACGACCGGTCGCAAATTCTGTCAACGCGGCGAGTGAGGCGGACGGTAGTGGAAGTTACGAAGGAATAACGCTCCCACAACCTACGCACGCCAAACGACCATCTGAGACCAATCTTCCTCACTCTACACAAACCACAACGTCCACTAGTGAAACGTTATCCACAGCTGTCCCTTTTACAGCAAATGAACAGTCCGCCCAGGTACATTTTGCTCGTCACACTCCATCTACCCTGTCGCCTAAACTGCGGTTCAGTTCTCCATCGTTTACCCACTCACTCGCACATGGCGGTCCATCTATCAGAACTAAACACTCTGAACACTTTCCATTTTCTGAGGCATCACCCGAAGCGATCTACACCGCTCGAAGTCCAACCTCACCATTGTCAATGAATCCAACAGTAGCGTCTGAACGCTCTCAGGATACAGTTGGCCGCACTGGACAGTTTCCAGGTTACTGTTTTGGGGGGTCGACCAAAGTGAACGAGGTTATGTTTGACCCTCTACAGGCGGATTCCCGTTATGCGCCTCATTCACATAGACAAGGTCCACATGCCGCACCCCACCCGGTGGGCCACCGAACTCCAGGCTTACAAGTTCACTTCGCACCCCGATTTCGCCCTGCTTCTTCTGTTCCTCATTCCACCGACAAAGTAGGTCGCAATATGGCCCCATCCGAGCAAACAAATACTGGCTCATGCAATTTTCCAATAGATAGCATTGTTTCACCACACCTTTTGCGTAAACATTATTGTTACGAGGAGTACTGAGCTAATGCTGCGCCATCTCTTCGCTGATTCGTGTATGAGCTTGTCTTTGCCTCTTCCGTGGCCAACTAACGTAATTTTCAACCATTGGTGTAGTATTCATGGCATGTGCTTTCAATCGTGCGCAATCGGTGATATGTTATGTTCCTTGTTTCGGTTTGTTCTTGCCGCTTCCTTTCTTTTTCTCTGCCTCTCTCCCGCGCGTTCTCCTAATGCCACCTTGGCGTTTTGCATTAACAAATAACTAAGTTTGGCTCGCTTTTTGTCACAAACGGTGCGGTACGGTTGATCGTGTTCCAGCGACAAACCCCAAGTAATTTACGCGAACGTCAAACAGTGCTGAGAGTATTTATTGATACAAACTGCCAGAAACAGATCATTAGGCTTATCTGTTTCAATCTCCTACGGCTTTGTTCCCATTCACAGTCCTGTCGTTTGGTCTCGTAACACCATCAGAAACGTCAGCAACATCAGTGTTGACACTGATGCCTCACTGTAGTGCAAACGCAACGTTTGTTATGCTTAAAGCTGTCCAGCAATCTTATTTCCCTGGGCACTTGTATGAGATCGATGGACTGGTCGGAGATGAGATTATTTCTCGAAGCGAGAAGGCCAGGAAAGCCTTTACCAATGTCTGACACCTATGGCGCTTACGTGATGTGAGTTTCTGTCAAGGGTAGAGTTCACACAACAGCAACGCGATCTATGCTGCGTTTGGATCAGAAACGTGGCCTATGGGTGCAGAGGACATTCTAAAGCTGTCAGTGTTTGACTATCGGTGCCTCAGAAGCATTGGTCAGATCTGGTTGGAACAACGGTTTAGTAATACTGGGGTGGTCTTAGGAGGAAGGAACTCTCCCGCGCGATAGATGACAAGGTACGCTGGTTTGGACGTATACTCCGCATGCCTGAAGACTGCCTCACAGAGCTCTTTTTCTATAGAGGAAAATGCCGGTAGCGTAGATGGTCGTTGGCTTGTTCGCTTAGCTTGGCAATTTGATTGCAAACGTTTCATCACCAGTCGAGGTGACATCATCAGTGCGTTATTGGGAAGCGTAGTGGTGGGTGAGTGGTTGTGCTCTTTTTGCCCAGCCCTGTGCTGAGTGGGAGCGACCGACAGGTGGACAGTGTATTACCTAGCAATGAAGTATGAAAACAATAAACCGCAAACTGCCGCTCCCTAGATGGGTACCCCGGAAATGAACTCATTAATGGTTATTGACACTGGCGGAAACGTCTTAATCGTGCAGTCAATGAATCTCATGGATGGAAACTATCGCCTTCAATACGCCACCCAGTTCCGAACTAAATGATCGTACCATCGTTTCCAATGCTTGGCTGTACGGCCCATACTCTTCCACATTCCGGTGATCGAAATTGAAGCAGATGGAACCAATGTACCCATGGCACATTGTTGATAGGGAGGCGAAATGGCTCAATAATTGGAGCGCAAATTTACTGACCGGAAGTTTTGTGTTTCGAACCCGACCTCTGCTTCTCGACTTCCTCGACAGTATCCCAGGCTCCTTCTCGTGGAATGGCAGTTGGGAACCGAAAGGGTGTTACATGGTTTATTGGTAAATTGATAATTGACTGAACTGGCTCGCTCGAACGGGTTTACTTGAGTTTGTGAACTTTGATGAGTTTGTCGAAATTTTAACGCGGAAACCGGTTTCTCTTTCACATCTCATATTAAGGAATCTATGTGGTGAATATCTAACAGTGGACTGAAGAATGAGCGAACTCCGAAGTCTAACTTGTCATCCAAACATTTTCTCTCCAAAACGGAAGCTGCGATTGCAGGAAGATTGAGCTGTCTATTTGTCTGTCTTAGCAGGTGACATTCCACACAGTAGGTTGGGGCGCCAATTATGTTCCCGAGAAACAAAGTCCGCAAAGGTAAAAAAATCGCACCGGGGTACCGAAAGTACAAATATTTTCTATTTACAGTGTGATATAAAAAAATTATCACATGAGGACATCCGAACCATCCACAGATACGTTCGCCCGCAAGTCGACAAGAAGAGACATCCCGATGTTCCAAGCGTGCACAGACGGACTGGTGGAAGCAGATGACATCGAACACGGAGGTTCCAGGACAGAAATCCGACCGTGTGCTTGCGCGATCACGTCATCTAGTACTTGTATATGGTGCTTCACCTTTTAATAGATGAGAAATGGATGAGTTTTAGTAAACATGTCAACACTGAACGTACTGGCTTTCATTTGACGATGACTAGCAATTATCACGTGTCAGCCCTGAAAAATAGAGCTGGCCGACGTACGAATGACAGTGCCGCTTCGATTGAAAACAGTCCAGTAAAGAAGGGGAAGCGAGCTGCGTTTAGAGACCTCAATACAACTTTATGATTCATAAGATTGGAGAGGCCAGAGTAAACAGTCTATCCTATAGGACAAGCTGGTACAAGGGTTTTCCGAAGGCATTCTTTAGTGACAGAAGAACTGGTAGAGTTCCGATCCGCATGGTAATACGCTGCCCACAATACCTGTGTTCTGATGGGCGGAGGACCACACCTAGGCGTAAGCGTGAGCTGCGCACAGCTGACACATTGCTTCAGCTAATGAGAAATGTATTAGACCGCAAACTACCAATGGAAAGAAGGCCTTCTCTGCGGAGCTGTTCATTAGAAAACACCAACTGAACAGTTACAGACTATTGAACAGGGAAGCAAAACTCTCATATGCACCTTGTTTACAAAAAGTGAATATCCATCTTCTCCTTGGAAGCGTCTTCCCGAACTTTCCTGGATATTCATTGACTGTTACTCAAGCGCTACAAATCGACTCCACAAATTCCATAATAGACCTCACTTTTCAAGAGACGCGGAGCGGATTTATGGGAAAGCACACTACTCGCATGCCCCATCAGTAGTATACACCGTTACACCAGTGACGTGAGGACAAGCCAGTCACTGCTGTTGCACCAGAATTAGTGTGTGAACTGCAGATCATTTCGATAATCCCAAGAATTCTCGTTTATAGTGTTGTCCAGCCGAATGTTCAAGGGGATAAATGCCAGTGAGTTCAGTTAGGTCGGTATGACACAGTGAATTGTTTTCAAGCAAAACTTCCAACGAGACCGAGTGATTCCCTAGAAAAATCAGACTTTCCTGGTCAAACTCGTTTGAACATACGTTTGTCCATACTATGAAAAAAGCGGACCTCACAGCTATTACTCACTTAAAGAGGCCTAGAGTTACCAGCATAAGAACTAGGGGGACGAATTGTGTTTTATATGATTCACACAGATGACAGGATGTTCTGGTGACAGACAGTTCAAAAGTTTGGAACTTACTGCTTTAAAATCCATCCTCACTAATCGTTCGAAAAGCAGTTGGAACAGCAATCGTGGTTCACAGAAGTCATTGTCCACTTCACGCTCGTAAAGAGCTTGCCTGCAGAAAGTACACGAGAAAAACGTTCACAAACACGCTCAACTGTGAATTTCTTTTTTAGGAAAGAATTAGACGTTCCTGAAAACGTCTTATTGGTACACTCCGATTCCGTAAAGTAGTAGTTAATAACAAGCTAAAGTCGAATGTGCTTATTCTAGAAAATCGCAGCCGAAAGAACCCGGTCCGAACCTCACTGGTGGGACCTATAAACCCAACTGCACACTAGATAGCAAACTGAAAATCACGCTTTCCTCTGCGCGCTACGTGTTATCTATGATTTTCCCTAGTAGTCCCGTCCTTTGATCAATAAGAACAGTACGAAGGCCTTGATATTGCCGCTCCGTCCCAATCGGCTCACCTCCCGATGACTTTTAATGCAATCTCGATCACCAGTAGGACAACCATCTGAGTGTCGTCTCAAACGTTCCGAATTCCGTGTGACTTGGTATTTTACATACTTTCCATAGGTTAACTTGTGCCAATGAGAAAACCCAAGAAGATGCCCCTGGGAAGGTTTTGATTCAACAACTCTCAGATTTTGTAGTTGTTATTCTTATAACAGTCGATCCCTACTAGACGGAAAACCCGTCTGGCCTGTTCAGACTGTTTCTCAAGAATGGACCTCAATGCTCCTGGCGGGAGCACTTGAATTTAAACGTAACTACATATCACTCACCTCGAGAGATACAGGAATTTGCAAATCAATTTGGCTTTCACGAGAGACTCAACTGAATCTCTCGTTTATGATATTGCACAAATGAATGTACTGCAAACAGGCCGCCTCATGTTTTGTTATTCATGTGTTTCTGTGGGGAGACCACACTCGACATTATCTGAAATCCCATCACACCGATCTCAACAGGTTAACGGCTTTTTTAGGTTACACCTCGCGATAAACTTTCATCCAACTCCCTCATCCTGCCCCCGTGAAATTCAGTCGAATGAGACCGACCCCTACATCCCATTCTCGTGCATAGTCTAACAGTGTAACACTTCATAAGAGAGTGATATGTATTCTCATAAAGGAAACTACTCATAAGGCTGCTGAAAACTCTTCGACAGCCCACGACCGGTTTCGGCCTTCCGCTTAGGGCTCATCAGGTAGGCACAGTCCCCGAGTTTCCGTCAACCTTGAACTCAAATTGGACTGTTTTCGAAAAATACACTCATTTGCAAATCAGTTTGGTTTTCACGAGAGACTCGACTGAATCTCTCATTTATTATGTTCTACAACTGAATGTGCAGTTGACGGAAACTTGGGGAATGTACCTGATGAGCCCCAAGAGGGGGCGAAACCGGTCGTGGGCTGTCGAAGAGTTTTCAGCAGCCTTATGAGTAGTTTCCTTTATGAGAATACATATCACTCTCTTATGAAGTGTTACACTGTTAGACTATGCACGAGAATGGGATGTAGGGGTCGGTCTCATTCGACTGAATTTCACGGGGGCAGGATGAGGGAGTTGGATGAAAGTTTATCGCGAGGTGTAACCTAAAAAAGCCGTTAACCTGTTGAGATCGGTGTGATGGGATTTCAGATAATGTCGAGTGTGGTCTCCCCACAGAAACACATGAAGAAAAATCCAAGAACCGATCAAATGGGCACTCACCTTTTCCTCATCAAAATTTCCTCAGATATTCGTTCGATCAGATCGTCCATCACGCCCCACCAAATGTCGTACAAACAACCTAGCTGCAACTCGGGGGACGGTAACCACGACGGTAACATGTTGTCCAGAAGACGGAGCACAGAGATTAGATGACAAACCGGTTGTTGGAGATACTTTGTCGCGATATCGCACAAACGCTGATGAATAAAGCAGCCTATTTTCGTTCGAACTTCATTACAGGAGTCGAACAGGGCGAAGAATAATGTCTTAATGAAACTGAAAAGGACAAAAAATGCGGAAAAACGCTTAACAGTGACAGAATAGTCAGTCAGGGAAGACTATGGGCGACAGGTTCGTGATACTTACAACTGACACTGCTCCGTGTCCGGGAATAATACGGTCGATGGTTGATGACACAGCCGCTCATTCCAAATTAGGATAGCCTGACCAGCAATAATACGGGCACTTTCGGGGCAAGCTGGTGATAGACAGTCGGATAGCGTGTGCAACCACCACTGGGGCGGGGACTGACACTCCGGTGGACAGCTGGTAACGAATCAAAAAACAGGTGTACCGCAAACAGTAACGATTTAAAAAAGAGATATTATGGACTGCAACGTAAGGGAAGATAGTGGTTAGTGTGTTCACTCCAAAACGTCAAGATAAAAGTACTCAAACTTCAAAACTAATGGTTTAACGATGCTTTCCACGCTACGTCGTAATTTGTGTGGTTCATGACATGGCTTGTAGCTACCCGGTCACCCACACACTTGACTGTTCAGCTCACAGTCGCTCACTGGATCACGGGACTTATCTTTTTTTCATGCCCACAACACGTCACATTAAGGTGACTCATCAGACGTCGATTGTCTGCACCGTCTAGTGAGCGTACCAACCACTCACGTGCTGACGCGCCCACGGACCTACATATAGGGAAATCGAACACAGTCAGCACACACAGACTCGCGCGCGCGCAGGGAGCAAGGAGTCAGCCAAACACTCCCAGTTCACGGACAATTATGGAATACGTGTAGCAGCCAAACTGCGAAGGAAACACGTTCCAGCTGTCCGGACTTTCACCAAGGGACTCCCACATAGGATGAGTTCCCTTTTTTCGACTCGCTCCACATTTTATATTGCCCCTTACACATGCTGCAAATCGCTTCTGTAAGCTACTGTTAACCACAGTAAAGACTTATTAGTGCATTCAACTTCTGAGTTGTGTTATGGCCATCATCACCTGTGCACTAATAAGCTCAGAAGCATATTTTGGCCTGCAAGTCCGCTGATTAGTTTGCAGCTGGAAGGCCAATATGACCGATTTCTGTTTTGAATATGTTGAATCCGAATGAGATGAAAGCGCATTGTCCGACTGAGACTCATCCGGAAGTCGTAATCCGAGGCGTTTGTAGGTTATTTTCAACTGAATTACACTTTCATGGGAATTCCATTCTGCGAGTGAAATCAATCCATATTGAATAGCCGTAAATACCCCCCACAGCTTTACTGTGAACCACTAGCAAGCCAAATTCGAGAATCTCCACGGCGATCGAAAAACGCCAAAACTTTCAGTTTAGTAGTTTCTTCTGAGCATCTGCCATAGACTTCCAGGAGGCGCGAAATGCAAACAGCAACAGTCCACTTCTAACTGTGTAGCTGAGTCCATCTTCGTTGTACAGCCCACTTGTTATCTGCAGGGGAAGCCAGCGAATACATCCTGGCTTAACAATGTGGTATAATCATCCCGTGAAGACGATCCTAAGAGGCACCATAGAGATTTCGTTGTCCCGTCATCCTTACTTTCACCACTGACCCTTTGCGATACCACCTTCAAGAAAGCGATGTATAATCTTTTATCCTACAACATTCCTACTATCAAGCGGGAAGCTTTGTGCAGGACAATGGGATTTTCACCCGGGTTTTATCCAGCGTACCAGCACTCCAGCTTCAGGCAAGGTATCTGCTCAAACCGAACCAAGCTGTTTTCTTGCAGGACAAGCAACTTAACACTGCTGAGCAACAAACCGCGGTGTGTTGTAAACTCATCCATCAACACGATTATCTCTTCTGACCCAACACACTGCTACAAGTTTACTGAAAACCCTATGATCACCCACGACAGATTTCGTCTTTTTGGAGCTCTAAGACAGGCGATGTCTCCGGTTTTTCGTCAACCTCATGTTCTATTCGAACACCAAATTGTACACAACTGGCGAAATACACCCGTTTTCGAAGAAGTTGATGGGAAACTTAAATGATTCCCAACTGATCCAAGTAGAACAAATTTGATGGAAATGTAGGCACCAAAACCCAAAAGGAACACAGCCGATCGTAGGCACCCTTGTGAGTTGTGTGTACCGTCACAGAAATTTATCGCGATTTCCCGAATATCATAACAAGTGAGACATGAGACGGCTTCTGTTCAGGAAGAACAAACATAAGCCAGTCCCTCGTTAATACCCCTTAGTTTGCGAATGAGTTTACTTCGCCTTTCTTCAAGTTCTTCTGACTGGTGAAACTTCATAACCATTTGCAATGAAAGATAATTATGGTAGTCCAGGTTGATGGTAATCTCTTTGAAAGAAATTCAGGCTCTGCCATCAAAAACGTACCCGACATCTGTCTCGATATTTTCAGAGCACAAAGAGCCTAGGCTCTTCTCATCAGGTGCAAAGCATGTCTGAATAGAAGCCGTTTTTTATGTTCTTCGTGGACGCATTAGTAGCTTGTGGATCTTGACACCCCTTCGGTGCCTAGGTGTCTTGTCACCAGGTCGCTCAAGTCAAGACAGGAGTAGCCGAGGCGCCGAAGTTGGGTTCAAACCACGGATCTTCCGATCAGTAAGTTCGCACTTCAACCAATGAGTTATCTCCAGCTCAAAGAATGGGCCGTTTGCCATTAAGCTCCTCTTCAAGTGATTGGGCGTAAGTTAGTCTGCATGCTCTTACCGAAATTCGCAGCCCCTTTGGGTGAGTATGGCTCACAAAGTCCGGACGTGGTGGAAATCAATGGTCACAGTTCTGCAGTTTCTCTACACTAACATAGGCATAAAACCATGTTATCAGCAGGGCCGGGAGCGCAACTGGATGTCTGCAAAGAATAGTTTGGGGCAACTCGATAGGACTGGACGAGACAGCCGTATCTCCATCCATTGCTGATAAATTCTATGCAGAGGTTGTCATAATCTCCGACGCTAATGACAGATTTATTAGACACTTTGGATAATAAGGCCATTCCAAACAACTCAGACGATGAACTAATCCATAGTGTCTATTCGCTACAGCAGTAAAAAAATCGGGACTGAAGGACCCATTTTCTTACGTGACGAACTCTCCGTAGAAAGGACTCACAATACCAGAATATGGTGCACCTATCTAAACCGGTCACCTCTCAAAAACCTCCGGCTTTGGTTTGTTCACTTGAGGTCCAAACTCTGTGACTGCAAAAAATTTTCTGCACGTTGGCAAATTCAATGCCCCCCCCCCTTTCAAAATTGGAGCCCGAACGCGGATGTTACATTGAAAGGAAACCTTTCAACGACAGACAAGAACAACTTTCCACCGATCCAGTCATCAGTCGTTCGGTACGAGTCTGGTTAAATGTCTATCACTAGAAAGTACTAAATTTTTTCTGATCGCCCCAAGAACTCCAGGAGAACCGTCACGCTTCTCTCGTTAAACAGCTGACCGCTGGTCCTTAGGATAGCCAGACGAGCAAGTTACTCTACGATTGGCAGTATTATCTTAGATCCGGATGACATCATATGTGCTCGGAATCCAATGCAAATTTAGTGAGTGACGCTGCGGATGTCAGCTGTTCCAGCCTACAATGCAAATGACGCTGCGGATGTCAGCTGTTCCAGCCTGTCAGTTACGGATGGCGAAAACAACTTGCCGAAAAAAGCGTATGATTCGAATTCTGTGCCTGACAGCTGCTTACCTCGAGTTTGACTGATCACATAAACAGGCGGCTGCGCACAATAGAGCCATCGACTGGTGAATCGAATCGCAACCACCGTCAATTAAATCCTTGAGCATTGGCAGTACAGATATGTTCGTGAGTGCGTGGACTGGGGTGGAAGACTCAGTTGTAGAATGAGCATACAGAACAGATGACCAAACCTCCACAACGCGCCAACAGAGCATGGGATGAGTACGATGCAACTCGGTTCGCTGAGTCCAGTAGTTCAAGAGACTAGGAACCCAACCTCCTATGTCACTATCTTCAGCGATACAGAGAAGTCGGTGAAGCACAGTTGGGGTGACGTCTGGCGATAAGGTTACATTCAGATGTGGGAATACTCCACAAATGCGATGCGCCAAAAGATGTAAGCTGAGAATTGCCTCCAAGTGAAATGGCTGAAACAGAAATAAACAGGAGGTATTTGGTGGAGAATTGGCAAGTATGGCTGTCCGGGAGAAACAATGCGAAAACGGTTACCAAATATGTCCTCCTTCATCCACCTACAGTTTCGCATTGAAAGATGACCGGTTTCAACGATGGAACCATCATATCAAGTGTTTAGATAAAGTGAAACGTTACTGCGACCATGTCAACGATTTGATTTTAACTGACTCTGGCGTCATTTGTCATGTGATGTCGTAGGCGGTTTAGAGTGAAACTACAGGGTCATGAATACAGCAATCCTCGTAATTATCACCGATGGATTATGCGCCTGATACGAACAAAAGAGAGTTTGAGGGTCCACCAATCAGCGGTTTTGGGAGTGAAGCGGGGAAATATTTTTGCCTACGTGTACACAGTGATCACTAATGACTATAATGAGAAATTGATATGGTAGAAAACGTTCGTTCAGTACTGCTGGATCAATAGTTTCGACCGGAATGCAGAGCAATACCTATCGAGGTTGGGTAGTATCATCATCATTGTCAGCTGTACTGACCGCGTACTTGTCGTACAGTGGTTGTAGCTGCCACAGTTTCGTTCACCGATGATTCGGGGTGGTGGTGGGGTAGGTAGCTGCGCATTGGAGATGGGAGCTGGTAACTTGGTGCGTAAATACAGTACTGTAGGTGGACTGTTAAGTGGGAGGGATTGGGAAGGGAGCTATGCAGTGAAGGCAATAGCTTGGATGCATGGGAGCGATTGAGGGCGCGACTGGGTCATGTCTGACAATGTCTCTAACTATTGATATGGCCCGTCTAGGGGTCCCCATCCAGGAAAACGGCAATGACCAGCGCAGGTGAGTATGCTGGTAATGGTTTTTATACTTCGCTGGGTAACGAAACGGATAACAGATTGAGTGAATAATCTGAACAGTAGTTTTATGTTCCTGCATATCCGCATAGTGCCTGGACATCACTCTCCCACTAATACATCGGGACATTTACCGATCACCCATTTTCCTGTGGTGCGCCCAATGGAGCGATAATTCAACATAATCTACAATTCGTGCAGGCAGTGTTGATGTAAAATCTTCCGTTAATGTGTGGGGTATTGCCAGAATTTGCAGATATGCGGACATTGGGAAATAATGTGACTGGTGTTTGGTTCGACCACCCATTCGTAGAGTTTTGTCCAAGTTAGTAGAAAATGCGATGCTTTATGAACCCCATGCACAGTAAATGGGAATCAAGTGTAAATTCAGTGCACCAGGTAACGCTTGCTGAGAACAGGAGTACCCCTACTCGTATGGGGGCACAGGAAACCCAGCGGTTACATTACTGTTTCGTACACAGTATACCGTTCAGTGGCTAGGTGACAAGATGAATCAAGCCGAATCCTTCGACTTGAAGGTCAACCCGATGCATACCTGCGACGTGGCTTGGGAGACACCACAGGACGGAAATGCCAGCGCTACGCTAAGACCTGAATAAAAGCAACTGAGGAGTTAATGACGCCGGGGTCAGAGCTCGATGCGGCGTACACAGTCGTTCAGTGGCTAGGTGACAAGATGAATCAAGCCGAATCCTTCGACTTGAAGGTCAACCCGATGCATACCTGCGACGTGGCTTGGGAGACACCACAGGACGGAAATGCCAGCGCTACGCTAAGACCTGAATAAAAGCAACTGAGGAGTTAATGACGCCGGGGTCAGAGCTCGATGCGGCACACTTACGGTTATTGTGGGAGACAGGAGGCGCACGTTGTTGTTGGTGGATAGCCAGGATAAAAAACGTGTTCGGACACAAGGGGAGTTGTCTGGATCGACTGCCAAACTCATCAGATTGCACAAGTGGTGAGCCAAGATAAACACGCCAGGAGAACGAGTGGTCATCAGACGATCAAGGTAAGTTAGCGCATTATCCCAGTGGAAAGAGCTGAAAAGTTACAGCGAAGTAAGTACCTTGTCAGGAATGAACTTTATGTACCCAACAGCTTATTTTGACAAACGTCTTTGCAAAAACTGCTATCATCGCGAGGTATAGCGACAACCACTTTACGTGATACGCAACAAACATTTCAACATAGTTTATTCACGAAAAGAACGGGTAAGGAACAAGAAATCATTCAACGATAACTGAGACAAGCATTCAGAAAATCCAGCGATAAAACCTGAAAAGAAAATGATAGCTCAAATGCCGCCTCCAAGACAAAAACACGGTGCGACTCACGACTTTCTGTTTCGCAGCACATGATAGGAGACCGGTTGTGTAAGCCAGGCTCGAAGAAGGCACAATTGACCATGAATGGCATTCGCAGTGAACGGTTCAGACCGAGACTTGTTGGGTTCAGACCTGAGCAGCTGCAGAGGACCAACTCTGGAAAGTTCCAGTGAACTATCCAAGTTTCCCGACTCATCCATAAGTGGGAGGAAGACTAGATAGGCTCGCGCAGCCATTCCACGTATGGCCGAAGAGTTATGGTGTAACAGGAAGTGACAAACGGTTGAACGCGCACGTTTGTTTAATTCGGAACTGCGGATAAGGTTTTTCAATAAAGAAAATGAAAGGGAGGAGAACAAAACCCTAATTCCAGAAACCAAAAAAAATGCACGGGCAGCGGCGAGAAAACTAAGTTTGCAAAAACATCGACAGCCAAAAGGCTGAAAAATGAGACCAGCAAGTCGGCAAACCAAGTAATCGATAGTGGTTACAGGGCTTCAGTAATTGTCCCATACGACGTTGCGTTTTATTCCCGGAGGCACATATATATTAGCGACTGATTCAAAAAACCAAAATACGAGAGCCATAGCATGTGGAAAGCATTCCTCAAAGAAGGGGCAATATTTTTATAAGGGAAACTACTCACAAGGTTGCTGAAACCTCTTCAACAGCCAAGACCGCTTTCGCTCTTCTTGGGGCTCATCAGGTAGGCGCAGCCCCAGAGTTTCCGTCAACCTTATGATCTACTTGAACCCAAATTGGACTGTTTTCGAGAAATACACTCATTTGCAAATCAATTTGGCGGCCTGTGTGCAGCACATTCAGTTGTAGAATATCATAAACGAGAGATCAGTTGAATCTCTCGTGGAAACCAAATTGATTTGCAGATGAGTGCATTTCTCGAAGGAGGCAATATTCATACAATTAGCAGAAAGTTTGTCGTAAACATCACTAGCTGTTCACAGTGTGCTCCGTTGTACGAGGCAGATCGCGCTAGATGAAACTCAGGGATCTGGTGCACTGGTGCTATACGTGTACAAATACCCTCAAAATGAACTCCTCTGAGCAGTATTCACCCGTACCATTGTTTCACAACTGTATAACAGGAAGGCGTTACGCATCCTGAGATCAAACAGAACGGTGTTACATGAAATAATCTCGTGTACGACGGAAATAAAAGATTAGAATACCCAGTAGAGTGTGATTTGAACACATGACTTGCTATGTGGAAAGAGCTTACATTTCGGCGCGCGCGTACCAACGACCTCTGCTTGCATGTTTGCAAACCAATAGTCAAACTCGGTGAACAGATCAACAGCTACCTTATCAATGTCCGAGCGTTGAGAGGAAATTTTCCGTGCATGGAATGTTACGAAAGCTTTTAATACGGGAGACTTGCACTTAGACCCGATGGCCTCAATGACCTGCAACGTTGTCACAAGCGTGCTGATATATGATGGGCAATTGGATCTAAGAAGTTGTCGTAAGACTCGTAAGATCATGGCCGGAAGTTAGCCGTCGATAAGTTTTCGTCAACCTCACGAATGCTATGAGCTCGAGAATGCTCAGTAGTTAGGAAGCGAACACACTGACCGTAAGGTCCGTGGTTCGAACCCAACCGTGTCACCTCGACTGTTCCTGTTTGGACAACCTGACAATATCTCAGCCGCCCCCCCGTGGTTCCTTCGGGTGGCGTGAAATCTAGGCACCGAAGGGGTTTCACAGCTAAACGTCAATAATATTTAGTTATTGGTATAACTCGAAGAGACACAATGCTTGAACTAAAGTGAACTCACTCAAAACAATAGCTCACTTGCAACACTAATCTGGCGTGCTCCCTCTAAATGGTGTTGGAAAACTAAGGCATCCATTTCATTTTCCACCATGTGAGCGTGTATTTGTCAAAGGGTCCTGAAAACACGCCTCATTTCACCCTCTTGCAAAGGCATTTTCGGGACATTCTGTTGTCAGAACCACGCGTCACTACATAGCACAGCTCAGAATAACGGAGTAAAATGAAAGACTATAAAAGGCAACAGAACACCAACGAAACGTGGATTTCCGTTGCAGCCATTTGTGGGAATATATGAAGATCGACCAGTCTGTTGTTGGACTCTCCGAAAACAAGTTTCACTCACTCTGTCCACTCGCCAGGGCTTAGTCTGCCGAACAGAGTCAGAATGGGAATGACTTGTGTCGTGCGACTGGGTCGACTGATCTGCAGTTTGGCAGCCGTCTCGAGCTCTCGCAAACAAAGCTCCAGTAAAGTTGGGTATTTGCCAAAAACGTCCACGCTGGTTGAAGGAGCCCGACCAGAGTTTGTCCCAGTAAGGCGTAGTACCAACGCAGCTGGACAGAGAGAGAGAAGAATAATGAAGTTCGGTTAATGCGTTGAAAGTAAGGCGTGTACCAACGCAGCTGGACAGAGAGAGAGAAGAATAATGAAGTTCGGTTAATGCGTTGAACGCAAATATGGCAGTGACAGAAAGAACACTTCTGAAATCAAGACTAGTGACAGACCTTGTCGGACAAAACCAGCATACTCCGAAAATCATCAATGAATAGCGCTGAGCGGTAACTGAAAATTGTTTCTGTTTGAGTTGTTCCTAATTCTGCCAATTCTTATCCCCAAACCCCCTGGGAGTCTTCCCCATGATGATCAGTGGTGCTTGGTGCAAAGTGATCCATGTAATCTAAAAAGTCTCCCTCCTCAAAATAAAGGATTGCGCTAATCTGACTTCTAGACAAAGTTCAACCTGGTATGAGGAACTATGTGAATGTTGCACAGAGACCTCCCATCAGTACCCCTCGACGGGTAAAGCAAATGCGCAGACCGTGACAGCAACGTGTGGCCTCCAGGTAAAGCCGGTAAGGGCCAATAACGGATCTTATTCACGCAGGTGCACACTGCCTGCAAAAAATGGAGGTATCCAGGGATAAACAAATTAATAAATGGAGGTGGCCATCCATAGAGCAGACTCACGGAGCCACCGACTGCGTTACCTTTCCGCCCACACTCTGTTCACAAAGAGTATGTGCTACTACAGTCCTAACCAGTACACTGTCATCAACCACATCAGAAACCCCAAACTGTCCTTGGTCAGACTTTGGCGATTGTTTCCTCAATGGCAACTGCAGTGGAGAAATTCCGTGATCTATAGAGAAAAATGTTGACAGCTCGTGTAGCGTAGATGGTCGTTGGTTTGTTCGCTGAGCTGGGCAGTTTGATTGCAAAGGTTTCATCACCGATTGAGGTGACATCATCAGTGCGTTATTGAGGAGCATATTGGTGTGTAGCGATGGGTTAGTGGTTGTGCGTTGATTAGTGTTACGTGTGTCTTAATATATGTGCACAACGCGGCCGTCAGGGGGCATGAACCCCTGTGCTTGATATCTATACACGAAGACCACCAAGAAGGCTACAAATTCAATATGGAAGGCGCAAAAAATTTGGCACACGGAGACACGAGATACGGAAGGGATTTTCTGGAAGCATGACACTCCATGGCAGATTCGATCAACCGGTGCATCGAACTGGATCCAATTAACGCACCTCTACGCACAGAAGACCAACATCTCAACCGGAACACTCAAGGAGACCCGAATATTGGATTCACAAACATGCAAACAAGGAACAACTTGGAGTCAAATCAATAAAGGTCACATGTCGGGACTCGGAAAGACAAAGGTCAGTCCAACATCGACCAGATACGGAGGCGGGGAATGCCAAACTCAAAAGTCACGTGGGCATCGGGGAAAGAGGACACGGGATGACAGCAACCAATCGAACCGCCCGACCGAACTACTAACAGCGATCGAAGGTTATCCCCGGCTAGCAGCACCCAATAACGCACTGATGGTGTCACCTCGATTGGTGATGAAACGATTGCAATCAGCCCAGCAAACAGGCCAACAATCGAATTCCGTGATGTTCAAGTTGCCCCGTCCATGACGAAGCGATCGTGAAGGAGACGTACTAAACTATTTCAGCATCAGCGCCGTAAATTGCTGCCACAAAATAAGTGGGTAACTTTGCCTAAAAAATTGATTTTCGTCTAAAGTGTGAAGATGTTGTTGACATGGAAAATAGTAACAATTAGGATAACTCACAATGAAGTTGCAGACCTGCATTGGAAACAGTCCAATCAGAATCACTGAACGTGGGTAACACCGCAAATTCCAATGCTCGGATAAGGAAGTTTGAGTGTATCATCTCGGGCACCGGTTGGAGATGAGGCCTCAAACGAGAGTCACAGAAGATGCCGCGCAGTAGATGTAGAGCTAACGCACGTGGAGAATCTGTCATCTCTTCGGTTTTTGTGCCCGTGTGTGATTCGCCCGGATTATGTCGCGCAAGATCAATTAGTCGTGTGAGCCAACGTATGAGGAGAACTGGCTGATTAGAGAAACGTAAAAGAGTGTGAAATAGATCTGGTGAAAAAGAAATAGGGTCCACAGGAAAACACAAATCAGTGAACTAGGCATGAGTGAAGCAAACTCTACCGTCAGAACGGTCATGTGACAGTATAGGAAATGAGTACATGCACAGGAGAGTAAGCAGGTGGTGAATAATCTGTTCCCAATGACGCATATAGGATCGAACTGTACCGGTCGATCTTCAATTTACAGCTATGGAAACCTAGTGTGGATTAGTTTGAACGAACTAGTTCAGAGATTCTGGTTGAGATTTCATCTCGAAATCAAGGTTGCCTGATGTTGATAGGCCAACAAACACTGAAGAGCCACTTATGGCTGAACGGCATAATGTTTAAATCCGTAGGGTGGGCGTTTAAACCGACCAATAGAATTGTTGAATTCTAAGTACGACTGTAACGGATCTATTTCACCGACTGATTTCATTTAGCCGGCTTAACCTCAACTGGGACTTCAGGATCTCTCCACTAGCCACACAAGAAACACTTGTCGAATCAAGGATAGTTAGAGATAGAAGATGAATTGTAATCAACTGTGCAAGAGAGTGGGATGGCACCCAGTAGCAAATGAATATCTTTGGATTAGCAATTTGTCACATTGAGTCACGTGGTTGCATTTGTGCGAAATAGGTAGAGTAATTGTGGGTTTCTCAGTGCTGTTTGTGGTTATGCTTTCGAGTTGATTTGTGTTCAAACAGAGCGCGTGAATCTGGACGACATTAGTTCAAAGTCCTAGAGGTATTCGTGGACTGTCTGCCATGATGATAAAAGAGGAGTGACGATTCAACCTCGCAAATGTGAATACAGAGGCAAAGTAACTTCACAATGTTTTATAACATCAGGGCTCCGTGAGTAGACCCAGAAGAGACAAGTACTTCCGCGAGTTTACACTGCAAAGTTAAGTCTTTGAGCCACCAAACTGGCAGCTAAACGAGGAATATTACCACCAAAATAACTGCAGAAACTACCGCGTTGTTACTGACATCTACGGTCACTCCAGATCGTACCACATTAGGAAAACATAATGTCAGCTTAATCTGCATCAGTCGGCGATGAGAATTTTCGTCGCTTTTGAAATACATCGAAGGAAATATAATTTGATAGTTCCGGTTAGTAGCACAAAGGTCTATGGGTCTCATGTTCACAAAAATTCCCAGAATAAACCTGGCTCCATTTGTTCTTTGCCGAGAAACTGTAAATATGGCAACTTTCTCCAATTCAGTCTGTAGCTAGGTATCCGTAACGACAGCAACTTCGAATACAATGAGCGTTCGGCTGTAGCACCCTTTCGGTGCCAAGCTGCCACGCCACCAAACAGAAACACGAAGGCTACCAGGTTGCCCAATAGGCCAAAGCTTTTACACGCCGAAACCACACAAATGGACGCCAACGCGCATTGAAAACCAACGTGTATTTGACTAAGGTAGAAACAACAAACAGCGATCTTAATCGATTATGTGTACAGTTGCAGATGGGATCAAAGTTACTCCGCAAATGTTGCGAACAATAAGCCGTTTGTTTGAAGCAGGGTCTGTGACATGATTCAGGGAGCGAGATGGCTCAAGCGCGAATTTATTGACCGGAAGGTACGTGGTTCGAACCCCGACCTCTGCCCTCGACTTCCCCTGTCTAGGCTTGGGCGACCTGGTAGTATCCAAGCCCTCGTGCTTCCTTCGGGTAGCATGGCAGCTAGGCACCGGAAAGGTGTTACAGCTGAAAGATTTTTCATTCACTACGACATGGTGGTCATATTCATATTCCGTTAATTCAATAAGTTCTTGCTCGGTTCATCTCATGCGTCGAAGTCCGTTAAGAAGCTGATTACAAAAGAATAGTCTGAGATAAATGACAGATGGAAGCGAAAGGACGAACTGACTGTGTCTGTATGAAGGACAATGGAAGGAGAATAAAAACAACATGCAGTAAGAGTAAGCAGAATCGGAAGTGTGAAAGTCAAGTATCCCGAATTCGGGAGGTTGAATAGTTTCCACTGCACCAGATTCCAGTGTGCCGTCTACTAGAAAAGAACACAACGACGCCGTCTCGAGCCATCTACACAGACCACCAACTGTGGTGTGCAACAGAAGAGCTTGTCGAAGACGGTAAATAAAGCTGATATCTGGCGGTGCTGTAAGCGATGGCCGAAGGTCCACACCTAGACGAGGTGCGAGTAAATTACCTTGGTGTCATTCATGAACCTGTCACACAATGAAACTGGAATCCAGTAATACCTCATGATGGACAGAGTCAGCAAGCAGACGGTTATCTCTTCGAAAGAATCGCACAGCAGTCTGTGATTGATGACAAACGTTGTTTCGTGCTCTCCATAAGAATATTCTTTTCTGAGTTATCATAAAACTTGGCACATTTTACGATTCAATAGCGACACTCAGCAGTCCCCAAGGGTTAAATCTAAGATTAGACTCGGTTGTGTAATTAGTGGAGAGAGCTGTAATGTTGCCAAGCAATCGTGCGCCACCGCCAGTGCTGAAACCTCGTACGGCATAATGACAAAAGTACCGCTTACCACACGTTGATCTTTGCTAGCCTGTTCCGCAAGCAGGGCCGCCTTGACTGCTGGCCATAATCCGGCGGCACGGCGTGTCACTGAGTATCCGTAATGACACAAGACCGTCCAGCACAGATCCAAAACTTGTTCGCAGGATACCAATGAGATTGAGTTGTTCGTTTCTTGAAGCCGCTGCGCGGCAGATAGGTAATGTTGCAGACTGACACACACCGCCTCCACCGTGCCCTGAGCAATTATACGAGGTGAAGAACATGAACTGTTTGGGTAAAAATGCTGGTGCATCGGATGGGCCATTATCGCAAAAAAAGTAGTACTTAGAAACTCCATACAGAATCGCATGATTATCACAGTTGACCAGCCCTTCCGCTTATGAAAGCCAGATATGTTTTCGGATAGATTGAATAAATATCCATTAGGCTACCGTTATTACTTCATTCCATCCTTCTTTACTAAACGCACTCGCAGTGAGACAGGTGTGGTTTATGGCCATCATCACCTTGGAAAGTCGTAACCGGCAAATCGTTTACAGACCCAATAGAATAGTGTGAGGCTGCGAATGCTTCAGCCTAGGCACAACAACAAAAGAGCAACTCATAAAGGAAACTACTCACAAGATTGCTGAAAACTCTTCGACAGCCCACGGTCGGTTTCGCCCTTCTTGGCTCTCGTGAAAACCAAACTGATTTGCAAATGAGTGTATTTCTCGAAAACAGTCCAATTTGGGTTCAAGTAGAACATAAGGTTCACAGGGAACTGCGTCTACCTGATGAGCCCCAAGAAGGGCGAAACCGGTCGTGGGCTGTCGAAGAGTCTTCAGCAACCTTGTGAATAGTTTCCTTTATGAAAATATACTGCGATATCTCGAATATGGTGCCACCTGAATCACAAGGCGCCCTGTGTGCAGCACATTCACACACAAACGAGAGATTCAGTTGAGTCTCCCGTGAAAACCAAATCGATTTTCAAATGAGTGTATTTCTCGAAAAGATCAACTCATTTCCAAATAAATTTGGTTTTGCGACGGACTCGCCCGAAACCCAACTGAAGCCCTCGTTTGTGATGTTTCCAGGCAGCTGAATGTGCTGCACCAAGCCTCCTCATGTTTCAGTTGCTACGGTGTTCGAGATATCGTGATACATGTGTATTCGTAATGCACTACTCATAAGGTTCTGAAGAAGAGAAGGGGGCTACAGAAGGCTACATAAGGATACAGTCAAAGTCACTTGTGAAATCATGCAACTAAGAGTAAAGGATGCATATAGCTTATTATGATTGCTTATTCTCCGAAATCTATTTGGAAGAATCTGAGTTGGATTCATTCATTCCGCTTGAAACTATTCGACTTTGGTTCCAAATGTTTCAAAGTCGTCCAACTATGGTAATGATTATAATAATAATTCTCCTCGGTGATTAGATGCCATATCACCGAAGAAAGCACAAAGGTTGAGGCACTGCCAAGTTGTCTAAACACGGACAGGAGCAATCGAGATTATGATGTGGGGTTCGAACCACGGACCTTCCTGTCAGGGGGCAAGCTGGTTCAGTGATTATGGCGCGGATTCACTGGCCGAAAGGTCCGTGGTTCGAACCCTCTCTGTCTAGGCTTGGGCAACCAGCACTCGTGCATCCCTCGGGTGGCATGGTAGTTGAGTACAGCTGAACGATTCTTTCCCTTATTGTCCGCACCTTAACCGCTGAGCTATTTCGAGATCGACAATAGTTAGGATGATGAGAAGGCAACACATGCTAGGCCGGCGTGATATGTGTCGACGGTGGACAAAGACTGTCCTAGGCATCACATTTCGGGTAACTTTGAAAATTCAAGACACAGCCTTGAAAGCGAATTGTGCCGACGTATCACCAGTGACCTAGGCTAGGTTGTGTACTGGATAGCCACATGATACAGCATTATAATTTAGTATTAGGAATAATGAAAACAAACGCTCGGCGATTAATGCACACCGTTGTCGCCCCATGAACTGCTAGTCTCCTGAACATGGCTATCAATCTGTGAAACTTTACAATTTGTGACAGTAGGCAAAAAGAAACAAGCTGAGAGATTGCTTACCCGGTGACGACATTGCAGCAGGATGTGAACAAGCTGATAACCAATCTGCGTGCACAAGTTTCGAACATGTGGCTCTGTATCACTGGCGTGAAGCACAGCCCACCGAGATAAAATACTTGCGGAATACTAGGAATGAGACAAACAACCCAAAATAACGATCAGAGGAGAATTTTAAGACAACTGTACTGCTGATTGTAAAGAAAAGGGTAAAGGAGGACAGGGAAGGGACTTAGTGCTCGCTTACCACAATCATTCAGAGGTGCCTACACCTGCAGACATTCAATCTGGACAGAAACTGACAACAACCTGACATCGGTTGGC